CGTAAATATTATCAAATTTATATAAAAAAAGTTTCATTTTATTCCAATTTAAGAAGGCTAAGATTTTTGAAGTGTTTAATAGAAAGGATGGATTTGAGGGAGATTTCCAGCCCGGCAAAATATTCTGACATATACATCAAATAGAAGACATAAATACACGCTAATTTGTTTATAAAAAAATTAATTTACTTGCATTTTAAGCCAGTAAAGATTTTTTTAACATTTAATATAAGGGGTTGATTTGAGGGTGATTTACAGACCGGCAAAATATTTTGAGATATACATTAGGTTGAGTACGTAAATATTATCAAATTTATATAAAAAAAGTTTCATTTTATTTCAATTTAAGCAGGCCAAGAGTTTTTAAGGGTTTAATATAAGGGCTGGATTTAAGGGTGATTTCCTGCCCGGCAAAATATTCTGACATATACATTAAATAGAAGACATAAATACAAGCTAATTTGTTTATAAAAAAATTCAATTACTTGCATTTTAAGTGAGTAAAGATTTTTTAAATGTTTAATATAAGGGCTGGATTTGAGGGTGATTTCCAGCCCAGCAAAGTATTCTGAGATATACATCAAATAGAAGATACAAATAGAAGCTAATTTGTTTAAAAAACATTTATTTACTTGCATTTTAAGCTAGTAAAGATTTTTTTAATATTTAATATAAGGGGTTGATTTGAGGGTGATTTACAGCCCGGCAAAATATTTTGAGATATACATCAAATAGAAGACATAAATACACGCTAATTTGTTTATAAAAAAATTAATTTACTTGCATTTTAAGCCAGTAAAGATTTTTTTAATATTTAATATAAGGGGTTGATTTGAGGGTGATTTACAGACCGGCAAAATATTTTGAGATATACATTAGGTTGAGTACGTAAATATTATCAAATTTATATAAAAAAAAGTTTCATTTTATTCCAATTTAAAAAGGCTAAGATTTTTGAAGTGTTTAATATAAGGGCTGGATTTGAGGGTGATTTCCTGCCCGGCAAAATATTCTGACACATACATCAAATAGAAGACATAGATACAAGCTAATTTGTTCATAAAAAAATTAATTTACTTGCATTTTAAGCCAGTAAAGATTTTTTAATATTTAATATAAGGGGTTGATTTGAGGGTGATTTACAGCCCGGCAAAATATTTTGAGATATACATTAGGTTGAGTACGTAAATATTATCAGATTTATATAAAAAAAGTTTCATTTTATTCCAATTTAAGAAGGCTAAGATTTTTGAAGTGTTTAATATAAGGGCTGGATTTGAGGGTGATTTCCTGCCCGGCAAAATATTCTGACATATACATCAGATAGAAGACATAAATACAAGCTAATTTGTTTATACAAAAATTAATTTACTTGCATTTTAAGCCAGTAAAGATTTTTTTAATATTTAATATAAGGGGTTGATTTGAGGGTGATTTACAGCCCGGCAAAATATTTTGAGATATACATTAGGTTGAGTACGTAAATATTATCAGATTTATATCAAAAAAGTTTCATTTTATTCCAATTTAAAAGGCTAAGATTTTTGAAGTGTTTAATATAAGGGCTGGATTTGAGGGTGATTCCCTGCCCGGCAAAATATTCTGACATATACATCAAATAGAGGACATAAATACAAGCTAATTTGTTTATAAAAAAATTAATTTACTTGCATTTTAAGCCAGTAAAGATTTTTTTAATATTTAATATAAGGGGTTGATTTGAGGGTGATTTACAGCCCGTTAAAATATTTTGAGATATACATTAGGTTGAGTACGTAAATATTATCAGATTTGTATCAAAAAAGTTTTATTTTATTCCAATTTAAGAAGGCTAAGATTTTTGAAGTGTTTAATATAAGGGCTGGATTTGAGGGTGATTTCCTGCCCGGCAAAATATTTTGACATATACATCAAATAGAAGACATAAATACAAGCTAATTTGTTTATAAAAAAATTAATTTACTTGCATTTTAAGCCAGTAAAGATTTTTTTAATATTTAATATAAGGGGTTGATTTGAGGGTGATTTACAGCCCGGCAAAATATTTTGAGATATACATTAGGTTGAGTACGTAAATATTATTAAATTTATATAAAAAAGTTTCATTCTATTCCAATTTAAGAAGGCTAAGATTTTTGAAGTGTTTAATATAAGGGCTTGGATTTGAGGGTGATTTCCTGCCCGGCAAAATATTCTGACATTTACATCAAATAGAAGACATAAATACAAGATAATTTGTTTATAAAAAAATTAATTTACTTGCATTTTAAGCCAGTAAAGATTTTTTAAGTTTTTAATATAAAGGCTTTTTTTGAGGGTAAATAATTTTTTGTAATTTAGATTCATACGATTTATTACAGTTTGTTTACAATTTTTTAATTCTTCACGGCCCAGCCATGGATTCGCGGCCCAGCCATGGATTCACAGCCCCCAGCCATGGATTGATTACCGCTGGCGCTTTGGTTCCCGCCGTCAAACTCATGGCTGGAACTCGTGGCTGTTGTCACGCCGGTATAACTGTATCTGTAATTGAAATGGGTGTCTCGGATCATAGGGGACAGTTAGTAGAAACTCAAGAAACCTCTGAAATAAAAAACAACTTAACTTATATTAGAAATTATTATTCACACAACAATAACTATTTCTGAACTATTTAAATTCTGAAAAACAGAGGATATTGATGGATTTAATGTATTTATAGTGAAAAAATGTTTATCTTTTTTGTCTAAACCTTTAACTATAATTATAAATGCTTGTCTAACTGAAGGAATATTTCCTGACAGCATGAAAATTGTTAAGGTCTGTCCTCTATTTAAAAAAGGAGACCCTTCTCAGCCTTGCAACTTCAGACAAATTGCTGTACTTCCCATATTCTCCAAAATATTGGAAAAAATTATGTATAATAATCTAATATCATATTTAAATTCTTCCAACATACTCACGCCATTCCAGTATGGTTTTAGAAGGGGGCGATCTACAATAGATGAAAGTATTATCTCTAGTACAATATATAGAAAATTGTTTTGAAAAAGCTGAAAACTGTTTAGGGGTATTTACAGATCTAAGTTCTGCTTTTGACTGTGTGGATCATTCAATTCCATTATCAAAACTGGAGAGGTATGGAGTACGAGGGATTTGTTTACAGCTTTTTAAATCTTATTTAACTGACAGATGTCAAACAGTCAATAGTGGTGACTTAAATTAACTAAGTATCATTATTAGTTAAATTTACCAGTTTACTATAAAAAATTCCTTTAAAACAGAAAAAATAGATCTTTGTCACAAATCATAAACAATAATTAAAACAAAAAAGAATCCTAATAGTTTTAGCTTAATTATCGGCATTCAGAATACAATTTTCAGTGTATTGGTAAAATCCCAAATCAAATAAGTATTATCAATTTAGTGATATCCTTGGATATCATCAAGAACCACAAATAAATAAAGTAAATTTTAGCTAAGGTTAATCATTGTTTATGATTTACCTTTTATTTAAAAAAATAAAATCCAATAATTCTAGAATAATTATTATCAGCATTCAGTTTTTCAAAATAAGGAAAAAGAAATTTATTAGTTAAGATAAGTATTGATTGCTAATTAAATAATTTATTTCAAAATTAAAACCAATATTATTATTTTTTTATAATGTAGAGAAACGAAATTGCAAAAAAAAACACAGATAATTTTTTCTCTGAACTTCAATTTCAAGGTAGTCTGTTTCTTTATGAATAACTTGGACAGTATTGCCACTCTTGTAATATATTCTGGAGTTCCTTGTCTAGACAGCCTTGTGCCCATATTTATTCTTGCTAGTTAAGAATAATTTATGTAAGCTGGGTGTCAATTCTTCATTGATAAAGGCATTGGATCCTTTAAGTGATAAACGTTTACGGTAGATTTCTTATTTCGTTTTAATGAGGAAACAAAATGTACAACAACAGCTCTAGGTTTAGATAAGTGATTCAAAGAATCTCTTTTCCTAACTCTGAACATGTTATTAATTTCAAACAGTGCATATTTAATATTCAGACCTTGGTTAAATAATGTAAATATTTTTTGTTTAGAACAAAAGTACTTATTTCTTCAGGTTTCTGCAGCAAAATAGATAGGGTTATTTCTTGCTTTCTGGACTGAAGTTTATGTAGACTCTTCCATAAATCCTTGGAGGATTTATGGGAATTGAACAGGTTGTCAAAATAGGTTCTTTTTTCATGACATATAGAGGAGAGAGTGAAATTTCTTAATTCCTTATACCTATCACAATCAGTGTGTAATCTTGTTTGCTTAAAGCAAAATTTCTTCCCTTAATTAGTAATTTGATTGGATAAGTTAACCAGGGTGCATAAGGTTTAGTAATAGGTATAGTTTTTAATGGCGCCTGTTTATCAAACAAGAGAATAACTTGTTCTTTGAGAAACTGCACTTTAAAATTTCATTGGAGTACCTATTTATTAAATCATTGTAAAAACTGTCAGTCAAAATTTTTAAAATTTAGGTTTTTCTTATTTTTGAAAATTCCAAACTACAGAATAATAAGCAATGAGTACTTTATCAGGTTTTAGGCTTGATTTTTTATTGTTGTGACTGAAAATGTTTTACTTTATTTAGATTGCTGTATATATTGACTTTTAGGAATTTTGTAATCTTAATTGTGCCTATGGCACTATTGTTTATTTCAAAAGTTTTTTGCCTTTTCATCAAAACTTAACTTTTGCTTCATATGACATCCACTTGACATTTATTTTGAACTTAATGTAATAATTCCTATTTCAAATAAAGCTCCTCTAAAGTAAAAAATGGTAAATATACTTGGAATTAGAATTGTTGGAATTCTTATTAGAATTTTTAGTACACAATTTTGAACCACTGTTGACCCCTCATTTAAGTTCTATTATTAATATTTGAAAAAAATAAAAAGGTAATTTCTATTAAGTTTCTGGACAACATTCATATAAGTACATAACATTAATACAATTATTAAATATAAGTATGTTAATTACCTGTATAAATGTTTCTTTTTCAGGAACTTCCTTTTTGATTAATTGAAGAAGTGTAGGTTGTTTAACTATTTTTGTAGGTGAACTTTTACTATACTCATCTTCACTACTTACATCTATAATATCTTCATTTTCTTTGTCGGAATCATCGGTACTGGACAAAATAATCTGTTCTATTTTTCTAGGTGTATTATTCTCTTTAGTTTGTTTAAAAGTTTTTGGTGTATCTACAGATCTATTTAATAACCTCTTTCCAGAAACTTTCAAGGTATGTACAATTGGAGTAGCTTCATCAGAACTATCATCACTAGTAACAGATATTTTATTAGGGTTTATTTTTTTAAAATTAAATATCACTGGAGAATCGATGTTGTTTTCAAAATCACTGTCATCTTCAGCCTTTTTCTTTTCTTTAGAACTTGATGAAGCAATGTTACAGTCAGAATCACTGTCGTCTATGTTATTATGCTGTATTTTCTTATACTCTGCAATCCTTGAAGTATCAATATCATATTCAGAGTTTTTCTCTGCTTTATAACTTGATGAAGCAATGTTATCGTCAGAATCACTACTGTCATCAGAGGGTATTTTATTATGCTGTATTTTCTTATTCCCTTTAATCGTTGAAGTATCAATATCACCTTCAGACTTTTTTTCTACCTTAGGAGTTGATGAAGCAATGTTATCCTCAGAATCACTACTGTCATCAAAGGGTATTTTATTATGCTGTATTTTCTTATACCCTGCAATCGTTGAAGTATCAATATCATCTTCAGACTTATTTTCTACCTTAGAAGTTGATGAAGCAATGTTATCGTCAGAATCACGACTGTCGTCGTCAAAGGATATTTTATTATGTTGTTTCTTCTTGTACCCTGCAATCGTTGAAGTATCAATATCACCTTTAGACTTGTTATCTACCTTAGGAGTTGATGAAGCAAAAGACAAATTTTGTTGATACTCTGACATTGATTTGGTTAAATTTAACCGATATTCACCATCAGAATCTGGAATGCTTTCGAAACTACGTCTACTATCTATAAATTCCTCCTCACTCCCACTCTCGACCGACTTTTCAATTTCATCGTCAGTTTCACTCATTTTTAGTCTAGTTTAAATACACCACAATCAAACCATTCAGGAAGGATAAAATATCAAACACGATTAACACGAATCAAACTACAAAATGGCACACAGTTTTTCTATGGGCACACACAGATCACAATTTGAAACATGGAGGATTATTTGAAATAACCGTTAAAAATAATTTAAACAAAGTGACACACGTCAGAAATCTTCTTCTTTCTGGTTCACCCTATCAAGCCGCATAGCGAGGTAATATTTGACACTTTGGCGCCCACATGTGCGTATCGAAATGCACTAAAAAGGATCATCAAAATTAAATTCAACGTTAGTGGTAATTCTGTAATTCAATACGTTTATTTTTAACGGATGTTAAATTTTATGATTTTAACATAAATTGTAATTCTGTAAAAATAAAATTACCGCATACGTTAAATTTTCATATAAATTAACATGCGTTAAAAGTAGTTCAAATTTGCAATAAAAGTATGGTTAAGTTTTAAGGTCTGTCAAATAAATGTCATTCTTTTTGTCATATTTATTGTATCTGTCTGTTTTTGCACAAGAATATTGAAAAAAGTAGAGGCCGAATTTATTTTATAAACTATTTCGTAGGCCATCAATTTTCAATAAAAACAAAACCACAGTAACCTTATAATAGTGCCCTTCTACGGCAAATCAATTTCTAACTACAAAAAGTTTATATACACTATAAATAACATCATTTCGAAATATAATTTGTGTAATTTCAACCGTTAAAATTACTTAAGTATTTTCAAAATGGTTCAATTTCATGATTTTCTTGCATTATAAATTGAATTAAACATTCAACAGTCATAATTTCTTATATGTTAAGTTTTAAAGCCTACTAATTAGTACCTGTTAATAATCTTCAATTTAACGCATAAAATTAACACATTTATGTTAAATTTTTAACATATTTTTGCTTATAGAATAGATTTTTACGGTACAAATGAACTATTATGTTAATTACAAGTTAAAATTTTTCATGAATTTACAGAATTGCTTTTCATATTTAACATACGTTATATTTTTAACGTCCGTTTCAATTTTAACATATTCGTTATAGAATTACCACTGTTGCCACCTTCTAATTTAAGAAAATCACTAAAAAATTATTTTTGATTAATACGCGGCTGAAACAAATGTTCCAATAATAATAATTATTAAAATCAACCCCAATGGGGTCTATTCTGCAACACATCCGTTAAAATTAAGAGGCCTATTAAAAATTAAAGTTTTAGCGGCCCGTTAATTTTTTTAACCAAAAACGGTATTCTGTAGACACAAATTTTAGAGGCCTGTTAAAAATTATTTATTTTAACGGATTCCCTTAAAAATGGCACGAGAACACTTGACAACATCGCATTTAAGATTTATTCCCAGACAGCACACCAATTCCTTTGGATATCTACTGGACATCCCAATATCCACTGAATGTCCAGTCCATGGTGGATATTTATTTTATATCCATGAGATGTAATTTATAGACATGCAAATGTCCATAAATAATAGTAATTATATAGCAAATTATTAAAAAATTACTCCATTGTGGCTAATAGTACCGTTCAGATATTTAAAATTAATTTTTTAAGGTGTATTCAATATCCCATGGACATCCACTAAATATATCAAAGTCTAGGCGCGAACGCAAACCATGGTGGATATCCGCTAGATGTAATTTTTGAATTTGCTTACTAAGTATAGATGGCGATACCACTTTCGCTCGTTGAATATCTACTCATGCTCAACCCGCCGTAACTGAGTTCGATCGAAATTGGTATCGCAATCTGACTCCATTAGAGACTGGAGTCGAGAATTTCCATTTATTGCTGAAGAGTCCTAATAAGGACGACTTTCTCCTTAGTGGGCAAAATCAAAGGCAGAGTGTTGAAAATATTTTGAGTGTTGAAAATATTTTTTATCTCTGCTATTTTCTTTCGACGTTATTCAATAATCATTGGTTACTTATGAACCTCTAATACCCATAAAATATTTTGCTGAATATCCGAATATCTTCTATATCCTGAGATATAGACGGACATTTGTATATCCATATTAGATCCACTGGATATATTATATACATACAGTGTGTCCATGGATGGGGTCCCCAAGGGGGAAAAATCTTTATTATTCATTTTACGACCAAAAGTCATTCTTTATAAAAAGTTCTGCTTGTTGAGAAAATGGAGTTGCCTTATAAAAATTTAAGATTAAATGTACAGGGTGTTCATAAATTAGGAAAATATGAAAATGCTTCAAGAGGGAAGTACCATTATTTATTATTTTTAACAAAAATTTTATAAAACAAAGTTGTTTATAAACTAGCAGAGACTAAATACAAATTTTTAAATAAAAATTCCAATATTTTAAAATAGAATATTAATAATTATTACTTTCGTGTAATAATTTGCATTTTACAAAAAAAAATCAAGATAGCCGATTTTGTATACGTTCATGTTATGTCAGCATTTTATTTACATCTGTCAGTATTTTTGACAACTTTGTTTTATAAAATTTTTGTTAAAAATAATAAATATGGTACTTCCCTCTTGAAGCATTTTCATATTTTCCTAATTTATTAACACCCTGTACATTTAATCTAAAATTTTTATAAGGCAACTCCATTTTCTCAACAAGCAGAACTTTTTATAAAGAATGATTTTTGGTCGTAAAATGAATAATAAAGATATTTTCCCCCTTGGGGACCCCATCCATGGACACACCATATATTGTCTGGAAGATTCCCATTAGATATTTTGCTGGATATCCATAGGATATCTTCTATATTCTGGATATAGACGAACATTTGGATATCCATATTACATCCACGGGATATTTCAGATATCCTGTGGATATATTGGATATCCACAAAAGATATTCTGTGGATATCTCTGGGATTTGGTGTGTTGTCTGGGTTTGAACTATTTTGAAAACCTAACCATACAAATCCTCAATTTTCAATTCCAAACCGTTAAAAATTAAAGGCGAATTAGTTAACATCCCTTTAAAAATGATTGTTATTGGGGTCTATTCTGTAACAATTTCTTTATATTTAACGGCCTTTAAAAACATTTTCGTATTCGTTAATTTACTTCTGTCATTATTTAAACAGATTTCTTTAAGATAGTCCTAACACGATGAATTTAGGGTCGATTCCACCGTTGTGTTAAACGGAGATTAAAATGACATTGTTAATGTAAAAAGGTCATTTTAAACTTCGTTTAACACAACGGTGGAATAGGTCCTTAATAAAACTCATGTCATTAGTGAATATGTAGCGGCAACTAACACTGTCAGTTACTACCAATGAACTGGAGTAGGGTAGAATGCTTGTCAATAGACTTGAGATGCTACTCTATGGGCGAAGACAGGTTATTTTTCATCTCACTCGGGAGTATTTATAACAACCATTTTCTATTTCACTTTGTTATTGTCTGATCCACCAGCTTGTGGATTGAACAATAACAATGTGAAACAGAAAATGGTTATTATAAATAATCCCGAGTGAGATGAGAAATAAAAATGGCTGCGCCCATAGAGTCGCATCTTGTTCTATTGATACAATATGCACATTGGCTTTCTACCCCACTCCAGTTCATTGGTTACTACAGTACACACAGGTCCGCTATAAGCCATTTAAATGGAAAATAATAATTAAAATGTTTTGATTGAGTTAAATAAAATATCAAAATTAAATTTTTAAGTAAACGACATTTTTAAATGTATACGTCTTCAATTAAAAATAATATAGGCTAATGATAAAGTGTAAACGAGTGTTCTGGACAAGAGATAATATTACACTTTACTTGAGTTGTTCGTATTAAACTAGCCATACTCAACCTGCGGCCCTCCAAGCTTTTGTGGCCCGCAACACTATTATTGGTCGCAGCGCTAAATAGCATGCTAATTTTTAAATAAACGTTTGGAATTTTGTGGGGTTACTGCAAAAAGAAGATAGCTCCACTTTTGGAATTTTCGAGTTAAGTTGATACACTTTCTACAAGTGTGATAGAAGTCTATATTCATGATAAACAGATAGCCAATAAAAACTAACTGCATGTTAATACATTAATAATATGGAAAAATAAGATGGAGAGATCGCACTTAAATTACGGTGATGTGGTTTATGGTCCAAACATCCGCAAATTTGATTCCAATCGATTACAGAAGTTACAAAATGCATGTGTAAGATTAATTTGTGGCATTAGGAGAAGGGAACATATTTCGCACCATATTAAAAGAATTGGTTGGTTAACCACAATTCAATAACGAGTATTGAACGCTTGCTGTCAGTTTAATTCAATTATTTCTAAGAAAACACCTCCGTATCTTTACAACAAAATAAGATTTAGGACAGACGTACATAACGTCAATATTCGTTAGAAAAATAGATTAACCATACCATTACACCGAACACGTGCTTACAGAGGTTCGATTTCATATCAAATCGCTCATCTTTTTAATTGGTTTCATGACAAACATGATAATTGCAGTAATAAATTAAATTTTAAGAAACAGTTGAAGAATGATTTACTAAATAGTGTTATGACACCACCAGATTTTTAATATATTATATATTTTGTTGTTCTCTGATTTTTTTAGTATGTCTCTTATTTTTATTTTTAGAAGTTTAGTTAGTTTTCTTTCGTTACTTAAGTAGATAATACTTGTACAAAAATTAAATGTACATGGTTGGGTGGAAGAGCAGAGTTACTTAAAGGCAGTTCATCTACCTTTAAGGAACACTGAACCCTGCCAATTGACATAAGTCATATATGTATGCATAATGTCAATAAAAGCATTTATTATTATTATTATTATTTATACCAAAATATAATCATAACATTGTGTTCAATTGATAAATGTGTCTACCAAAACCAGATAATAGGCATATAACTTATTTTTGCTAAATATATTTAGTTCGATTCTTAATAGTGTTCCTGCCAAAACAAGAAAAAGGCCAGAACCGAGGGGAAACCAATAAGGTCAAAACGTACCTGTATTGCAGAAAACACTTAAAAATTTCATGTAATTTTACTGAAAATCCACCTTAATTTTATACGATCTTTTTTTTCTCGCCATTTCGGGTTGTGAGCGACGAATTGATTTCGACCATGATTTTAGAATTTTCGAGAAAATGTGTAGTGATTTCCAGTGAAAACGTACCAGTATTTCGGGAGTGGTTTGCCGCTACTTATTTTTGGTGAATGTGTTTGTTGAAATATTACAACATTGTGCCCACACCATTTGTTTTGTTATGACTAGAGCCGTCTCTGGCCTTTCTCAATTGTTCCGAAATACACGAGATGATTACGTCACCCTTTCTTTCCGCGATACAGCTAACCTTAAACAACCACTAGATAATAACACGTGATGTTCGAAACTCCGTGGTGAACGAGTTATTGATCAAGATGTAACGGGTGATTGGTCAAGCTGTAACGAGTGATTTGTCAAGCCGTAACGAGCGAATCTTTATGTGAAAATTAGTGAATAAAAGTATTAGTGGTAACAGGCGAATATTAATTTTAACCATACTTTCTAATAGACAACGTATCAAAAGATTCAGCTATCCTAAATACATTCCACCAGAAAAATAGATTTAATTTATCAATGGGCGAGGGTGCGGAATTCGGCTTTGTATGCCAAACTCGCACAGTATTTATTCAGAGGGATGAATGAAAGGATTAAAAAAGTTTTAAAAATACTTACAAAAAAGTGCAAGAAGAAAGATTTACTAAAATTTTGCAAAATCAGATACACCTGATGAATTTTACCATTATCACAATCTACCTGTATCCAATAATGTTACTGAAACTTCGACTGAAGATAGTGACACATACATTGAATTATGATTTGTATGTAGAGCTAAAATAAGCTCAGTGACGTTTTTTCTCTTTTTTTACCAATTATTGATAGATTATTATTAGTATATACCTTGTGAACAATGTTAATACCTTCTTCATTGAAGTAAATAAACGGTTCGAAGCTTTTACTGATTTTTTATTCAGTTTTAAACGTTTCAATAGTGTTTTATCGAAACTCTAAAAATGTGAGTTATCTTGTTTTTGCAGTAACACAAAGGGATGATATATTTATGTTTTGTGTTTTATTTATTAGAGGTCCCCACTAACTAATTTTAGATAGATGTCCTAAAAAAAGGTCATCATCCAAAAATATTGCGACCCAATGTATCATAGCACATATACGAATGTGGCCCGAAGGAAAAAAAGGTTGAGTATGGCTGTATTAAACCATCGATCATTGTAATGAAACCAGGGGGCTAGGGGTAAAATAGATATTTGTGTACCAAGGCTGTGTTTTGGCCGATTTCGACATTTGTGGCAGAGGCTAAGCAATTTCTGGTTAAGTATAAGAGTAATAGGCAAGAAACGGATGTTCAATCAAGATAGATGTGAGATAAGTAGGTGTACTGGAGATGAACTTTGCAGGACCCATCATCAGATAGGTATATATAACACTTTGATATTCTGAAAACCATGCATACTACACTGAATAAGAACAAATGGAAGTGTCAGGAGACTAAAGTAAACAAATAGACGGAACAGAGCTGAATAGGTAGATAACGTCGCCTTCAGGAGAAAATTGCGTAACTCCATCTGACGAAATTTTACAGAATATCCACATCGGATGCATCTGAGATATGAATTTTTTATCACGTGATAAAGAAATAGATCTGTATGTAGATGTAATACACAAACGCTCTAGACTTTATTGGTCACGTGATAAAATGACAAGTTAGAAGTTTATACTCGTACTTTTAAATCTGACTTTTGAGACTTTAAATCAACCTAAATTTGAAATCTAAACAAAAATTAAACAAACTAATCACTTTTATATGCATGCTAGCCACATACTTGATTACTATACGGTGCAAGAGAGACGTCCGACACGCCCAGCATAGGGCGCGGCCATTTTGATGCAATAACTACTAGTTTGGGCAACACATTTTTCCAAAATGTTAACCTGGTAGCCTACATCTTGGTATTTTGAGAATTTAAATGAAGGCAACAAATGTAGAAGAAATGTTTATTTATTTTAAATAATATACAAGAAACTTCTTTGAAGTAACGTTATAATTGCGAGTGCATCTTAAAATAGAGGTGAGTGGTTTTAAATTATTTCTAAAGCTGTGCATATGATGTTACCTTCATATTATGATATTTTTCGCTAGTCCCATGCCCATGAACAAACATTTTATTTTTGTAATGTAGTAAAAATCTTTGAGGCTAAGGACCGATTCCACCGGGTGTTAAACGAAGTTTAAAATGACATTTTTACATTAACAATGTCATTTTAATCTCCGTTTAACACAACGGTGGAATCGACCCTAAACAAACTAATATATTTTGCATTTTTTTCAGTTGTAAATATGGTATGAAAGTATAAAATAAAAACAAAGAAATGTGAGATTAAAGAAGCTCTAACTAAAAGATATTACCAGAGGAATAGTTGGTTTGTGTTTTTATCTTATAATTTATCTGGGACAGACACGTTGTATTTGTATAAGTTATTTTTTTTTTAATTAGTTATATGTATTTAAATTTTTAACTAAAACAGATGTATTGTTCATCTACAAATGTTGTTACACAGTAAGAAATTGCTAAATATTTTCTATTCAAGAAAATACCCCTATGCGAATTACTGCCACCATCTCCACCAATATTCTCGTTTTCAAAGATTACACAAGTTTGTTAATTGTATGAACATTAGATTGCCAGTGTACATTTTCAAAACTCTTGCATATCTCATCCCTACTTCCTGCTTCTATAGCAATCGATGGTCTAGCTATGCTTTTCTTAGTCCGTCGACTTGATATTGTAAAAAGGATGTCGACATATGGTGTGGCTCTAAAAGACGTTTTTGTTACTTTTATGATTCCTGTGTATGTCTAACGTACAAAATCAATGTACCTGGATCAGTGGTACTTTTGCTTCTCAGAAATTTCCATCTATACGAAATTGTTACTCACTTTACTGTACCAAATAAAAAAATAAATATTACAGGTCATTTTCTAACTGTTCCAGATAAACTATTTGGCAGAGGGGGCTATTTTCTTAGTGAGGCTGTGGGCTACCTCTACTTTCAGGGGTGTAGATGAGCCAGAGGTAATAAACCTGAAATAAATAAAAACAATTATAATATAAATGTTAAAAAAAAAAATAAACAATATTACCTACATTTTTATTTATATTATTTCGTTTGATTTTAATACTGCTCCTATCTATTGAAGTAAATGCTTCAATTTTCTGATTGATCACATACCTTACATAAGAGCAAAAAGCATTTTCCTCAAAATGCTTAGAACAGACATAACAGAGTTTAGCTAAAAATAATTTCTAAACAATTTTATTAATGGTTTGTAAACACTGTTCAAGTTAATTGCTCGAAATTCCTAGGAGACCTCAAAAATAAGCATTTAGAATACAACAATAGGAACATAATTAAAGTAGTTACTGTTACTTACAAATGAAAACATAAAATCACCAAGTAAAGCAAGGGTGTAACACGTAATAAGTATTCAAAATGGCGGAGTTTTCTATCTCCTTTTAAAAGGCACTCAGAAAGCTGCGCAGTGCGACTATTCTCCGTATAGTAAGAGAAAATCGAAGTATGTAATGCTAGCATAAACAAAGGATAAATGGACAAACTTGGCTTCACAGAACACTTACTTTCTGGCATGAAACGAACATCTCATTTCAAATCGAGATGTAAAAAATGTAATCTGGACAAGTATATCTAGGATAAACAAACGCAGATGCAGTAGATGTGTCCGATGTGGATAAACAAACGCTCGAGATGTAAAAAATGCATCGGATGTAGATCGAACATAAGACACTGCGCATAATCTCACTTCAAAATTATTCACACCGACCAATCACAGTTGAGGACATCACATGTCAGAGCGTTGTTCGTCCAAATTTAATGTGTTAACTAGAATTAATTTATTATTTTAAGTGACTTGAATTTTTAAAAACTAATTTTGCATTACTGTATGGTGGATCTACCTCAATTTGGTTTTAAACAACATTCATTTATGAATGTACTATGTTCTTGAATAAGGCAATAATACCAAACTATAAAATAATGTTTATTTATTCTTTTTTTACACCAATCTCTCTTTTTTTTAATATCAAGTCACATTTTAATATCCGTAGCCGAATATTGTGTTCTTCTATTTTCATTTGGTGTTCCACCTCTTCCCTGGTCCTTTTCGTGACCCGATCTTCTACTTCCATCTTTTTAAGCTTTAGCTCCTCATCAAGCAAAGCAGTTTTTAATTTATAATATTCTTCTTTGGGCTGCATATCCGGTGTTTTATATTCATAGTCAATTTCGGACTGAAAAAGTCAAAATACACATTTGAATGAAATAACTTTAAATCCTAGATATCTACTACTATTCTTTTTTCAGATTCTTAAAAAGCTAGTTGAATTAAAAATATAGGGACCCATTAATATCTTTTATTTTGCTTTAAATTAAACCATACACTTTTTTTATCTTCAAGGGATTCATCACACTGTATAGAACAATGGTATATTCATATACACTGTGGAACAGCCAAATGGAATAAATTCGGTAATAAAAAAATGGGGGCGTGTTCGGAAAAACGTTCGGAAAAACGCTCGAACACATCGATTGGTATTTTTAGTTGCGCATTTTTTATAACAAAAACTTTTTATACATGGTGTCACGTAACAGTGGCCAATACGAACTTTCTCATTTTAAATGCAACTCCCTGTATATTTTTCAATTTTTGGATCTTCGGAAAATTCTAGACATATTTTATGTACTATGCCCTATACCTAACTGTTTCGGAAATATTAATAAAATAATTTGATAACAGAAATTGGTTACAACACACTCAAAAACTAATAAGTTTATTTCCTGATAATGTAACAAAACAAAATACACATCTCAATGTAGGAGATGTTCAAAATTCTCGCCGCGAACCTCTTGGCAACATCCTAATCTGAAATAAAAGTGTCTTCTAATGTTACTTAACATCTCAGGAAGTACATGTATAGGTATAGTCTAGAATTTTCTGAAGAATCTAAAAATTCAAAAATATACAAGGTGTTGCATTTAAAATATTTATTAGCCATTTAATTTACAATAATTTAAATTACAAATTATTACATAATATACACAATAAATTAAATATAAACAAGGTATCCTAATTACCTAACAGTGCTACTTAGGTTCACTAGTAGCCTAACATTCAAAGTAATCAAGAACTTATAAATTAGAAGTTAAAACTTTTAATGGTCTTATTTTGAATATTAATTTTTTCTCATTGCTAGGAATTAATTAAACCTTGTCTCCTGGTTGCATTATTGAAGGGAGAGGAAAATAAATAGCTATTCAGCGCACAATGGTAAGTTAATATGCTGTGTGTGCGTTAATGACACTTATATACATTCTTAGGAAGAGGTTAATATAACTCACATTTACTTAAAAATTACCCCCAAACGATCTAATATTAGCAGTTAGAGAAGCAAATACTGAAAATAAATAAATTTTAGGATTAGAGGACGTTATATCAATAAAAGATAAGTAATCGAAAAATTTGTTTCAACTATCCATTGGTTTATCCTATTTTTGATTTTATGATATGACTTATTTTTAAATTCCTGTGGTAAACAATTATATACCTTAGGACCTGACCTACACAATAGATATGGTTTTGACATGCAGTATGTTTAGGATTTTGAAGCCATAAATCTTTTTTAGCAGCCAGTCTAGTATTAATGCTATGAGACAATCCTTGTTTAAAATTGTTTTTAACATAAATCTGATCAGCGATTTCAAATAAAGTTGATAAGGAGTTAGTAAATTACTATCTTTATAAACCAGTTCGGTTGAATATCTTCTGTTTTTAAAAAGCATAATTTTAATTATGTATTTCTGTGCAATTTGTAACTTAGAGACAAGTGTACTACCAGCATTACCCCAAACCACTAACCCATAGTTTACGATTGATTCTACAAGACAGATAGACTGCTTTTAAAATGTTTGAAGAAATAATGTTACGTAATTCATAGAATTTAAAAATTAATTTTTTAATTTTTCCGATGAAATATTGTATATGATCTTTCCATGTGAGATTTTTGTCAATGAATACTCTCAAGTATGTAATATTATTTGATCTTTTTATAGTGACAATTTTTATTTAATTGACATGTTTGGTCATGAAGGATGATTTTGTGAAAATTAGGAGATGTTCTAGCCGAAAGAGAACGCCAAAAATTTTGTTTTATCAATATTTAGGGATAGTAGACTACTATCCAACCATTTTTTTAGTTTAAACACGTTATCGGCCAATCCTGCCTACTTATTATGACAGCCGTGTCATTGGCAAAACAGTAGACATTCCCCTCATTAATAGTGGACAAGATATCATCTACATATATATTAAATAGCAATGGTGCCTGCACTGTGCCCTGTGGCACACCAAACTCCAGTGTAAGTTCCTCGCTTAACTCCTTTTGAAATCTAACACGTTGGGATCTACCACTTTAGAATGATTTAATGATAAGGACCCCTTATACGAGTACCAATGTGATGTAACCTATCTAGTAGCATTTGGTGTGCCCCAGTGTCAAAAGCTTTAGCCAAGTCTAGAAATATACCAATCACCTTATTCCCCTGATCCAATCTTTGAAAAATTTCACTAGATACCTTGCACAATGCATCTTCAATACATGAACCATCCCTAAAGCCATATTGATTTCACTAGATACCTTGTACAATGCATCTTCAATACATGAACCATCCCTAAAGCCATATTGATTTTCATTAATTAAATTATACTTGTTTGTAAATGGCAACAACTTAAGCCTAATACATTTTTCTATAAATAGGAAAGTTGGCGTTGGCCACTGTTACATGACACACTCTGTATAAAAAGTTTTTGTTAAAAAAATTCAAAACTAAAAATACCAATCGACTTGTCTGAGCGTTTTTCCGAACTCGCTCCCATTTATTTGTTACCGAATTTATTCCATTTGGCGGTTTATATTTATATAGGTAATTTATTAATACAATCATCCTATTAATTTATTTTGAATAATAATTCGGAGAAACAGTTGTTACGCCAAAATCTTTGGCTTCACCTTTCACTGTCCCTAGAACTTTTTTGTTAACGTGAGGAATATTATAGGAGTTATCTATACAATAATCAGAAGTATAAAATTTCGATAAATTAGCTTTTATAATTTTACAATATCATCATATTGTAATTCATAAATGACATTATCTGCATCCATGTACATTAATTTACATTTTTCAATACTTAATTTTGTCCTACAAGATGTTTGTAATGAAAATCGCATATACATAATTTTGAGAGATCTAAAATTAACATTCTCTCGCATACAGGTTTATTAAAAATAATTCCTTTTTTTTTAAGTGTCCCCATGGAACCTAAAACTACACGATGTCTCCGAATATTCTCCATTGTCTTGCCAAACACTGCAATATTATATATATTATAAAAAAATTCAAGGTTAAAGGTTTCAACCACGTTGATTGTTTAAATGTCAACATTTTATGTATTGGTAAAGCCTGCTTTAAATAACGATAATAATATATATCCTGATTTATCATAAAGTGTTAAGTCTTCAATTTATTTGATGTAATTTACGTAAACATTCCAAATCAACTTGAAGAATATATCCATCTTCAGAATCATCTGGTATTGCATAGGATCAAAATTAGTAACATCATCAAATTATCTGAATCCGTGATGTGGTAGGCGTTCGTACGTGGCCCACCCATACAAGTTATTAACATCCAAGTAAATTAAGTACTTGAAGAACATTAAAGGATCATAGTTAACTTTATATTTATTTGTTGCTTCCTAAATTCGGTTGCTACAAACGATATTACACCTTTAATCGCTATTTCTATAAACATTATCGTATCCATATAATAATAATAATAATAATAATAATAATAATAATAATAATAATAATAATAATAATAATAATAATAATACAGGTGACCCAGCATTGGAGGTTGCTTTATCTTTTGGTTATCATAGGCTTTACCAGCACAACAGTATACCTAATGATCGAAATATATTCTTAGATTTAGTTTTTTCTAATGGTAAAGACTGTGATGTAAGAAGGGTTGTTGATCCTCTAGTTAATTTAAGTTTTCATCATATAATTTATGAATTTACTATAGCACTTTCTACAAATTCTAAGTCTAATGATCTAGTATATAATAAATTAAACTACATAGAACTAAATAATTATTTGGCATCAACAGATTGGAGTGAATGCCTAAAAAATATGAATGTTGATGATGCTACTAATTTGTTTTACGAACTCTTGTTAACTGGAATTGCTTACTTTATCACTCTTAAAAGGTACCGTGTATCTACTTTTCCTAAGTGGTTTTCTTCCGATCTGCGTAAGTCAACTTTGAAAAAAAAAAAAACTCATACATTCTGAGTATAAAAGAGAGCAGTCACATGAAAGTTATGTTAGATTTTCTCAGTTGCGTTTAGAATGTAAGAGACTCTCTGACATTTGTTTTAATAAGCATATTAGGGGTCTAGATGCGAAATTGATAGAAGATCCTAAATCTTTCTGGAAGTTTATAAACGACAAACGCTCTAACCACAATTTGCCCAGTTCCATGTTCTATGGCAATCAAGAGGGCTGTATGTGGCCAAGATATTGCAAATCTTCTTTCTTTCAAACTGTATACACTATTAGTGATAATACTGATGATGTAACTAGAGACAAGAGCCTAAGCAACAATATAAGGAGTAATGTAATATCAAAATCTGACATCTTCAATGAAATTTTAAATATTCTAAATAAGTTAACATCAGGTCCAGCTGGTGTTCCTAACTTTTTATTAAAGAAATGTGTTTGCACAATTGTTTTACCCTTATTTTTGCTATTAAACAAATCGATGGAATGTTCTATTTTTCCTGAGATCTGAAAAGTAAGCAATATTGTTCCTATTAAAGTGGGGAAAAGAACAAGATCGAGAATTACCGTAGTATCTGTATACAATCTGCTATACCAAAATTATTTGATTGCCTAGTTAGCAAACAACTGACTTGGCAATGTAAAGGCTTAATCTGTCAGGAACAACATGGTTTTTCCCAGAACAGATCAACTGTCTCAAACTTAACAACCTATCAATTAAATGTTCTTCAAAATATGGAAGACAAAAAACAAACCGACTCGATCTACACAGACTTTTCAAAAGCCTTCAATCGAGTAGACCACAATATTTTGTTAAATACGTTGCTTTCAGTTGGCTTCAACTTAGGCATTGTTTTGTGGTGGGAAAGCTCATTGACTGATCGTATTCAAAGGGTAAAAATAGGTTGTTACTACTCAGATACAATTAATGTTACATCTGGTGTACCTCAAGGGGGCCATAGCTCACCTCTTCTTTTTAACATTTTTGTGAATGATATTGTTGGTTGTTTTGTGTACAGCCAATGTGCTAAGTTTGCTGACCATCTCAAGTTTTGGAGAACAGTAGAGAACATTTGTGATCAAGAACTCCTTCAGGAGGATTTGAATCGCTTAGTAGAGTGGTGTAATAAAAACAAATTGTACTTAAACGAAAATAAATGTTGCTGTATAAGTTTTTGTCATAAAGCTGTTAGGATGGCAACAAACTATTTTATTAATGATCACCTACTTGAATACAAATCAACAGTAAAAGATCTGGGTGTCATTTTTGATGAAAAACTAGCATTTGTTGAACATATAAACTCAATCTCTATTAAAGGATCAAAAATGTTAGGATTTGTTATAAGAAATTGTAAGTACTTCTCCACTGATGCCACCAGGTCTACTGCTCGTTAGTTAGATCCGTGCTTGAGTATGGCTCAATTGTGTGGTCACCATTTTTTCAAATTCAATCTGATACTTTGGAAAGGGTACAACATAAATTTTTGAGAGTATGTGCAGTTAAAAGTAATGTCAGGATTTCAGATCATGATTATAGTGCTATTCGCTCCGTGCGAAGTCATGGAAAGGGAAGCAAAAGCGATACTAGCGCTAGCTGCGGATAATTCGTGCATTTTAGGGGGATATTTTGAAATTTTGGCATATCAAATACACGTATACATTTTACTTTTTTCAAAAAAAAAAAGTAGGTAAAAACAATACATTAAGCAACCGGAGTTGCTGTGTTGAAAATTGAACAAATACTAGCAAAAAAAACAGTGAAACTTATATAAAAAATTTCAGTAGCAAAGTGGAAATTAAATCAAAGAAATAAATGGATAGATATACAATAAGAAGAAAAATTACCTTTATTTTTGTAATAATAACCGTAATGCTGCAAATAGTAGACATCAGAAACTTGAAAGGTTTTAAATCAACAATAAATTATCATTTTACCATGTTCTTTAATATCCCTTATTCTTAAATGTTCATTCAGCAAGGACTAGATTTCAAGATTTCTGCCTTTGATTATTATATGTGGTTGGACCCGCAATTTTGTAACTTACTGATGGGAAATCAGTTTTAATCATTCATTCTATGTTTTCTTTCGAACAAAAATGAAAATATAAGTAATGATCCGTTTTTTATACATTTTAACTTCACGCTATTATTAAATGGATTTTTTTTATTTTGACAGATTAGAGTAATTCTTCAATGAAAACTTAGGCAACTTCTCATACAATTTCCAGTAAATACTGTTGCCTGCCTATATTTTATTATTAATTTTTATCGATTACATAATTTTCTTTAATTTATGCGATAAAAATATATAATAATAATAAATTAATGTTTTACTTGTTTTACAAATCCATATACTTTTATTAAAACTACCATATATACTTTTTAATTACGAATTCTATTAAAAGTTGCATTTGTCAGTGTATGCAGAAATAGTCCATTAGTATCAAAACGAATTGGCGCTGCTGTCGCGCACGGAGCGAATAGAAAGTCAATTAAATTTGCCTCCTTTAAGGGAAAGAACAGATATATTTTTATTCAAAATTTTAAATGGAATTATAGACTGTCCTTCTCTTTTGAGCGGGATTAGCCTAAATGTTGCTTATTACCTTGGACTGAGATATCCATTAACATTTAATATACCGTTTCATAGAATGAGCTATGGCGTCAACAGTCCTATTGACAGATATTTGTCAATATGGGATTAGCCAAATTTAAAACCAATTTTAAAAATGTGATACATGTTCCTTAACTTATATTTAACGTATATTTAAATTCACCTTAATTAATTACTGTAAAAACTCACTTTTGTACTTTGATTTTTTGTTTTGTTTTAGTAATTTTATAGTAATAGTATTTTTCTACCTGCCTTTTTATATTTTTATATTGTAAATTGTATAAATTTCTCTAATGGGGTTATCCTGTTTAATAAATAAATAATATAGGAGTGGTGCAATTTGATAGTTATTACCTTAATAGGTCGATTTCGTTTATTTTCGAAGGAGTATCATGAATAATTTTGATTACTTAATGCCTTCGTGAGAGCTTGGTAATATTCTCCGTCCGGAACATTTGCCTTAATATTTTTGTCAATAATGATGTTTATTTGAAAATTAATCATTTTGTTAGATATAACTCGATGGAGATTATTAAAGTTTTCAACCCCATCTACAATTATTGGAGACGGCTGGTATACCTTTTTAGTTTTTTGTTGGTCATTAGCTTGGACCTTTGGACTAATTTGTGAGATAGAAAGTGATATATCCATTTGTCTCTTCTTACGGTTCTTTACTCTAATCCACTCAGTCTCTGGGGCTAATTCTTCTTTGTCACTGAAGTGGGTATCCGTCTGGCAAGTGTTCAATGTTAGATAAAGATTTTAATTTACTCTGCAACCTTATAGTACTCCTTTAGTATTTTTTTATTATTATGACTAGTATTTTCGCGGAACCCCCACATAGGCTTTGCAGAGCACACTTTGAGAACTGCTCTAAACAATATCAGTTGTATAGTTGAGTTGAAATAAACTGAGTTACCAAAAAGCAGTATAACAATATCTTAGGGTTATCAATGTAATCATAGGAAAATTTCCCTTTACTAGTTAATCATTTAAATAGGTATATCATTATTTAAATGAGCAAAATTTTTTCATCAATGTCTTTGGTTCTTCCCTTTAAAAACCACCTTGTATGCATTTGTTGAAACTTTTTGATGGATGCTTTAGTAAAGCTGGTAGTTACTCTCACTGGTAAAAACAGCTTGTAGTCATACAGCTCTACTAGACAGCTTTCCCCATATTTCATTTATACAATTTATACCTGATGGATATTTTTACGTTCTCCAGCAGCAATTCATATAATTTTTTAACTAGTTTGTCGTCTTATGCAAGACCAATGGTATTAATGTTTTTAAATTTCATCTACCATAATAAATGAACATGCATATAATTTTGTTATATTTCATTGGTAGGAATGTTAAAGCATGGCGAAATTGCAGAATTCAAATCCATTTTTTTTTTCGAGAAGTCTACATCTACGTAATCGAACAAGACTAAATATTTTAATGCCAAAAACGTTAAAAAATGAGAAAAAAAAAAATGGAAAATGTCCGTTGCCCTCCCCCTAATGCTTTGTAAATGAAGCATATTATCTTAGCAGCCAAGGCCATAAGTACAGTGTAAGTCACAATTTGATTTCAATATTGCAACTCCTGATGCATCAGATGCTGAATAACTCTCTCTTTGTATTTGATTTTTTTTTAATTAGGTATACAATAAAATATTTTGTTTTTCTATAATAATGAATGTATTAATCATTTACAAAGATATTTTCTATGCCTTCATTAACCTAGTTTTATAAATAAAATACCTAAAATTTAAAATGAAATTTTTGTATTATTTTTCAAGTTCATGACATGGCTGAAACAATGTTTGGCAAGATATCATTTTTTAGTTTTTGGTGTCATATAGAAATATTTATGGATATCATTATTGTAATTTGAAATAAAGGGTTTAACAACAACAAACACAATTTTCCTGTCAATTTCAAATCCAAAATTTGCATAATTTATTTTATAAATACATAAAATAGTTTTTACACTATGTGTGCCAGAAGATAAAGTAATTAACTTTGAAAACTGAATTGACTCACATTGTCAGAGTTGAAAAAATTCAGAAACAGTGTTATTTGACATATTTTACATTTGTAGATTTGTTGTTACTGTCCACCTCTACATTTCCATGCTTAGCTTTTGAGATGTCAAGAAACTTTTCCTGAACTTGGCTAAGATTGGCTAATAAATATGGGCTCTACTACATACTTAAAAAAATAAAACCTACTGTATTATCTGGACAAATGCTACTTTCCTCTTCTTTGATGATACTTTGCTCTTCTTTAACATCATACTTGACCATTAATGTGTCCTAAAAACAATGTGTACTTGACTAATGATTTTGCAATTTTCCCAAATGACAGTCAAGTAAAATAAAGCTACCTCATTTGTAGTACTTTTATAGGAAGGTGCACCTGCAGTTGCTTTCACGTAATATTCTCCTTGACTGCCAGATCTTCTGGCTATTCTTTTTAAATTATCATATTTTGCTTTTAGTTGGTTTGTAGTTCTCTCCACTCGATTCACGGCATTGAAAGATGAAGTTAGTGCATTCCAAGCTTCATTCTGAAATATGTTTTATTAATTTTTATCAATATAAAAATTTATCTAGATATACAAACCTTTTTAAAATTATTTACTTTATCTGTCGCTTTGCAATCCAAAATAGTTTTATATTTTTCAACCTGTTCCATAAATAAGGACTCTTCTTCTTTAGTGAAGTTACAAGACCTCTTCCTTTTGTCCACATTGATTGTAATCATTTCATTTATTAAACTAAATGTACAATGTACTCAACACTACAACAGAATACCACAAAATAGTAGTTATAAACACAGATGGGTTCAAGTTCGGCTCTGGAGGCTCAGAATTTCAATAAGAGGATTTTTATGTTTATTGTTATATTATGATTATTATGTCTCTTATACCTGGAATAATTCATAGATACCAATTATTCAGTTACCTAGGAAAACACATAAGGTTTTTATATTTAAATACTACCTCTTTCATACAAATTAAATATTTGTATACACTGTCTTGTAGTTTTCCACTGCTTGTGGCTTAAAACTTAAAAAGAAAAACATAAATATTTACTCTGCCAGTTCTGTCAATTGTCAGTTCAAGGACGACTGGACGACTTGCATTGCGTTCGGTTTGCCACGTTCCTTTAACTCCTTTAACACTTTTAACTCCAAACGACTCTTTTAGCGTTCGGTTTAGTCCGATTAGTGACAGTTTAACACGCTTAAATGTCATTTAAAAGCACCCTAAAATTTGTCCCGCTCCAGCCCCTGACTGACCGAACTCGCCTTTGGGCAGAGACAATCCAGCTGGGTAAGTCGTCCTTGAACTAAAATCGAACTGTGGTTCGGTTATATCGCGTGAATTTAGAGATGGGTAGTAACAAATCCTTAAATGTACATAACAGTTACAGATTTGCTAATATCCATCTCGAAATACCAGTGTTACACCAGAACCACCGTCTGCTATTCACTAAGTCATGAGAGCGTTCCGCCATGGGAGTTCTCCCATATATTTTGCTCTCTTACTCTTAGATGGGTATATCGTGCTTATTCACTTTTAGCCCAGGTACATGCGTAGTAAGGTCAGATTTTATACCATGCGAGGGAGAATTGAGGGCTTGCCAGATTTAGGTCCGTATTTATCACAAAGGAAATTTGAACTATTTAGGACCGATTCCACCGTTGTGTTAAACGAAGTTTAAAATGACATTTTTACATTAACAATGTCATTTTAATCTCCGTTTAACACAACGGTGGAATCAGCCCTTAGTGAATAGCTACCCTGGAACTTTAGAGACGTTGTAACCGAACTTCGATTTTGGTTCAAGGACGACTTACCCAAGTCCGACTCAGGTAAGTTCTGTTTATAAATACGGGCCACGGACCCTACAGTTCAGTGGCCGAAACCAAGGATGGCCGAGACCGTGTAGATACCGTCGTGTAGATCTTTGTTCCTTTAATGACATTTGACATATCAAATGTCAACATTAAAAATTGAGGTTATAGCAAATGGAAGAATTTATGTCTTTTACCGCCAAATTTGTTCGAATATCCTCAAACGCAGCTGTTACAGTTTGGAAAGGGTATGAAGAAATATTAAAAAAACTTATTTAGGTATGTTAACTTGAAATTTTATTCAGTTTTAGCACCATGGCTACAGACGCTAAAAGTCCTCGTATTTTAAAAAAAATTGGTACACATAGCGGAGTATTCCATTGTGATGAAGCTCTTGCCTGTTTTATGCTTAAACAACTTCCTGAATATGTCGATGCCGATATTGTTAGATCTAGAGATCAAGAGGTAAGATAGTGTAAAAATGTCACTCTGTCATATACAGTCGATGCATAAAGTGCTTGATCTATTACCCCTAAATAAATTCAGATTTTAGAAGAATGTGACATAGTCGTAGATGTCGGAGGTGAATACAATCCAAAAAAACATAGATATGACCATCATCAAAGAAGTTTTAGTGAAACATTGAGTAGTGTACGCCCTGATTTAATACAAAATAAATCTATAAAGTAAGTTAATATTGGCAATTGTTAGTTTTACCATATTTATATTCATTTGTAATATATTTTAGATTAAGTTCAGCTGGTCTTGTGTATGCTCATTTTGGTTTAGAAGTATTAACAGAAGTTCTTAAAAAGAAAAATATTGTTGCAACCAGTGACTGTTTGGAGTCTATTTATAAACACATTTATGAAGGTTTTGTTGAGGAACTGGATGCCATAGACAATGGTGTACCTATCACTGATGGTAAACCAAAATACAGGATAAATACTCATTTGAGTGCAAGGGTTCATAGGTTAAATCCAGAATGGAATTCACCTAGTCCTGTGCCCAGTGATGAAACTTTTTATAAGGCAATGGAATTAGTTGGAGCTGAATTTGTTGAAAGAGTTTTAGAGGTAAAATAAAATTCAAATTTATTGTTGACTATATTACCCTGTTGATTTAAACAATGTGAATGGTAAAATCTTTTGTTTCAATGTTATTTTCATTTTTTTTTTTAATAGAGTACAACAGTGTGGTGGCCAGCTCGAGAAATTGTTAAAAAGGCAATTAATAGTAGAAAACAAGTTCATGAAGATGGAAATATTGTTCTATTTGAGGAAAGGTGTCCTTGGAAAGATCATCTATTATCTTTAGAAGAAGAATTGGACATTTCTGGAGAAATTAAATTTGTTCTCTTTCATGATTCTGGAGACTCTTGGAGAGTGCAAGCAATTCCTATTCAACCTGATAGTTTTATTTGTAGGTAAGGTTAATAAATTACATTTTTGTTTTGTTTTTGATATTATGTCCCACCATTTATTACTAATTTTTATTCAAGACCAGTTTGTCTTATTTGTTAATTATTTAATAAAAAAATGTTTGCCTTATTTACAAATTTACAGACACAATTGCATGTTGACAAATAAAAATACTTAAAAATAATGTTACGTAAACCATTAAAAAAGGCTCTTGAATAATACATTTTAAAAGTTTTTTCATTACTTATCCATCTAATACTAAATGTCTATATTGTTACATTATTTTTTCCTTTCGTAGAGTGTTTTTGCATAAAGATTGGAGAGGTGTAAGAGATGATGATCTTAGTAACATTGCAGGAATAGAAAATTGTATATTCTGTCATGCCACTGGATTTATAGGAGGAAACAAAACAAAGGATGGTGCGTTACAAATGGCTTTAAAGAGTTTATCAGCACATGTTGGAGATCAAGAATAGAAAATTTATTTAGAATTTATGTATATTGTGGATTAAATAACTTAATAAATTGATCATTTTTAAATTCTTTTTATATTAACATATTTCTGACAAGGTTTAATCATTGACGCTGGTGAAAAGCTATATCTTTACCAATAATTTTGCAGAACCCCTGGATGTTCCAACCAGAGGTAGAGATATTTATAAGCTCAACAGCTGTAAATTAAGGAAATTTGGCTGTAAAGTTTCAATCAAGATGTGGCTGGTTTTTGATTTTTTTTTATATGTCTTATTGAATAATTATTAAAATGTTTTATTGATGGTGTTTTGTCAAAATTAAAAACATTGTTATTCCATTAACAAACACATTCATAGGATGATATGGGTGAAATAATATTGGGTCCAAAAGAATATTAGAATGCAATAATGTTTTTCATTAGTTTTTTTTTTTGTAATAAGACAAAACCGTGAACATGAACTTTTTTTATTAAAGACGATTATCTACTTTTAATTTTTTTCCAATCAGTATTCAAAATAGTACACAATAAATAGCGGAAAGATTAACTATACAATACAATATCTTTATTTACCTGAGAAAATATTACATTTTATGGCTCGTCAAATTACAATTAAAAGTAAATATATATACAGTGAGCATCTTAAGTCTTACCCCCCCCTGACTAACTCGTTGCTGGGGTCTTGTTAGGAAAATCGCTGAGACAGGTCGATTTTTAATTTCTACAATGTACATTTTTGCATGATTAGTTAACCCTTAATTTCATCCCTTACTGGAGGGTAAAAACCCTTTCGAAAAATTTAAATGGCATGGGGTGGTGAGTGATAGCTCATTTGAAAGGGGGTTTTATTCTCTATTCAACGGTGCAAAAAAAAATTTAAATTTGCATCATTACATGCTGATTTATTAATGTTTAAAAATAAGAAAACCTCACAAAATAGGAAAGCAACTAGACTAACAGTGACCTTCTAATGGCAAAAAGTCTTACTTCACGTCTGAACCAAAACCGAAGTCATGCAGGGCCGAATTTTAATTCTAAGGATGAATGCGCTACGTTAATTTCCGTTATTCTGAAACAACAATTAGTCGAGAATGAATGAAGCAAATTTCAAATTTTTTTACACGGTTGAATAGAGAATAAAACCCTCTTTCAAATGAGCTATCACTCACCACCCCATGCCATTTAAATTTTTCGAAAGGGTTGCTCCCCCCCAGTAAGGGATGAAATTAAGGGTAAACTATTCATACAAAAATGTACATTGTAGAAATCAAAAATCGACCTGTCTCGGCGATTTTCCTAACAAGACTCCAGTAACGAGTTAGATAGGGGGTAAGACTTATAGTGCTCACTGTATAATAAAATTTACCTTAATATAAAATTGAAATTTACAAATATTTACAAATCACTCAGAGGCCACAGTGACAGCCTCCATCTGTATTGATTTAAATTCCTCTAAGCTATAAAGGCAATTATTAGATACCATTTGTTTTAATGCATGTTTAAATTTATCTATAGGCTGATTTCTAAAATTAAGTGGTAGTATATTATATAGCTCAATATAATATTTCTTTGTCCTTTCCAGTCTATACTGGATAGGGACTAAGTTATCTTTGTGCCTTGTATTATAGTCATGGATATCTGAGTGGGAAAAAATGTGTTAATATTATTTCTTACGAATAGAAGGTTTTGATAGATTATTACTGCATAGAGTGTCATAATTTTAAGTTCTGGGAATACTGGTCTACAACTGGCTTGCCAAGAAGCAAGTGTTATGGCTCTTATGGCTGATTTTTGCAAAATAAAGACTTGAGATATGTGTGTCAGCAGCATTGCCCCAACATATTGTCCCGTATGTCAAATGACTATGAAATAGAGCAGAGTAAGCAGTAATTTTATTGCTGCATCTTGACCACATATTTGGCGTATTTTCCTGATAGCAAAAACTGCTTGTGATAATTTGGAACAAAGTGTTTCAATATCATCTGTCCATCTGAGATGTGGATCAATTTGAATGCCAAGTGTTTTAACAGAATTGTTATTAACTTGTTCACTATTTACTATAAATAATTGGGAGATAGTTTTGTGTCATTTAAAAACAGGTCGTTTACAGAAAACGACCTCCTTGCCTGAATCATAACATCAGAGTAAACTTGATCATGATCTGTTCCTCTTTTAGTATTAATACAAAAAGAAGTATCATCAGCAAATATACATGTGGTTTTCAAAATGCATATGGTCAAGAAGATCATTAATGTATATCAAAAAGAGTAATGGACCTAAAATTGAGCCCTGAGGGACACCTCTCCTGATATGCATCAATGAACTTTTGCAATTTTTGATGACTGTTTGACATCTGTCAGTTAAATAAGATTCAAAAAGCTATAAACAAATCCCTCGTACTCCATACCTCTCCAGTTTTGATAATAGAATTGAATGATCCACACAGTCAAAAGCAGAGCTTCGATCTGTAAATACACCTAAACAGTTTTCAGCTTTTTCAAAACAATTTTCTATATATTGTACTAGAGATAATACTGCATCTATTATAGATCGCCCCCTTCTAAAACCATACTGGAATGGCGTGAGTATGTATGTATAGGGTGTCGTATTTAATGATTCATTCATTTTTTTTAAAGATAAAGGCCATAGCCCACTACACTGGATCTTACTATGACCGTGACCGTACCGGCATAGGCAGAAAAATATTCTTTGTATAGATTTGAATGAGACAATACCCACTAGACCGGCCCGGCATCGACCAACACCATCCTCATTTGAATCTATACAAAAAAAAAAAATTTTAGGCATTATTATAGGCAGCAAATTAAACTGGAACATATAAATTAAGTTCAGAAAAGAACCCAAAATGCTGTAAATATAATTAAAACTTTTAGTTGTCATAATTGGGGCTCTGACCCAAATGTTAGTCTAATGTTTTATATAATGCTGGTTCGTCCAATTATAGATCATGGTTCAATTTTTTATAATACGGCAGCAAACTCACATCTTCAGAAAATTGAACAAATTAAAAATAAATGCCTAAGACTCTGCGTAGGATTCTTACCACTCCTATAAATGTTATGGAAGTCGAAATATGTGAAAGTCAATTGGATCTAAGAATAAAATTTCTGATCGATAAATTTGTATTGTTATCCCGATCAAAACATTTTAGGGTAATCAATAAAGTAAGCAGATTTAACTACTCTATGCTTAACTTCGTCCTTTTGGAAAAAGAAAAAACTGCCATTAGTTGACAGTTTTATTTCTACTTAAGGTTACTGTAACGACCTACCAGTTTCAAAAGGCGTACCGCTCTGGTCCAATCCATATCTGTCTCCTATTATGCCAGTTAATAGTTATATTAATAGTAAATTCGACGTTGACAACCCTTTACTAATAAAGACAACTTTTTATGAAGAATTAAATTCAAAATGGAAACATTATGAAACATTTTCCACTGATAAATTAAATAATCAAGTAGGTTACGCTTTATATTATCCCAATAAAGAGATTCAAATTTTAAAACGTTTGCCAAATTGTATGTCAGTTTATAGTGCAGAAATATTAGCAATTAAAGAAGCCTTTTCGTTATGTTTAAATCAAGAAGAATTAAATTCTGTCATTTTCACAGAAGTTTAGTTCAAAAGTTTCAAAATTTTAATTTTAATTCAAAAGTTAATTATATAATTTTGGACATTTTAAAACTAAATTTTGAGGTAAGAAATCAGGATAAACGAATATTCATATTTTGGGTCAAAGCCCATATAGGAATACCTAATACTAAAGAAGTAGACTTTTTGGCTAAAACTGCAACAAAACTTAATTACATAAGTAATTTTAAAATACCCCTATCCGATTTAAATACTTATTTCAGATATAAAAGGGACCAAAATTGGCAAGCAAAATATGTAGAGAAGGAAACAGGTAATTTTTATAAATCTATTCAACCTAATATAAGGGTAAAACTGTGGTTTGATAAGCTGTCAAATAGACCACTAATCCAAACGATTTGTAAAATAATTAAAGTTTGTTATACGGTATTTTTATTTGTCCTGTTGGTTTATATCCAGTGCCACTAAATTAGTTAAAAAAAAAAAAAATATCATACTTAAGCTTTATTCCGGTTTGCGGCGAACTGATTAGATTTTGGGCAGAGTCGGAATATCTGTGGGGTACTTTATAGGAGGTCATTTTTATATTTTATAAAATATATCTGGTATTTACGCTTAGAGAAGAAAATTCTTCAAATAAAAGTTACTTCTTATATTATTCTCTACAATTTTTCTTCTATACAAAATTTTCTTAAAATGGTCCGTATTCGAGAAATTTGACAAAATGTAAAAAAATCAAATTTTTATGAAAATTGTTTAAATAAAAGGTGTTTGTGATATAATTCTCTATAATTCTTGTCCTATACATAATGTAAATTTCGAATTTTGAAGAAAACTCAAAAACGGATAAAGAAAAATCCTTAAATTTTGAACTTATGCTTTATTCCGACCTGAGGTCAAATGATTAGGTTTTGGCAGAGTCAGAACTTCTGGGGGGTACTTTATAGGGGTTCATTTTTATATTTTATAAAGTATATCTGTTAGTTACGTTTGGAGAAGAAAATTCTTTAAATGAAAGTTACTTCTAATATTATTCTCTATAATTTTTGTTCTATACAAAATTTTCCTAAAATGGCCCGTATTCGAGAAATTTTTCAAAATGTAAAAAAAAATCTGATTTTTAAGAAAATTGTTGAACTAAGAGATGTTTGCGATATCGATCTCTATAATTTTTGTTCTTTACATGATTTCTCTAAAATGAACCGTAATGGAAAAATTGGAGGAACAGTATAAAATTTAAATTTTTCAGCATTTTCGTTAGAAGTGTATATAGAAAAATGTTTCGAGTTAGATGTATGTGGAATATGTATACCGTGAGCACCATAAGTCTTACCCCTCCTATCTAACTCGTTACTGGAGTTTTGTTAGGAAAATCGCCGAGACACGTCGATTTTTAATTTCTACAGTGTACATTTTTGTATGAATAGTTTACTCTTAATTTCATCCCTTACTGAAGGGGATCAACCCTTTCGAAAAATTTAAATGGCATGGGGTGGTGAGTGATAGCTCATTTAAAAGAGGGTTTTATTCTCTATTCAACCATGTAAAAAATTTTGAAATTTGCTTCATTAATTCTCGACTAATTGTTGTTTCAGAATAACGGAAATTAACGTAGCGCACTCATCCTTAGAATTAAAATTCGGCCCTGCATGATTTCGGTTTTGGTTCAGATGTGAAGTAAGACTTTTTGCCATTAGAAGGTCACTATTAGTTTAGTTGCTTTCCTATTTTGTGAGGTTTTGTTATTTTTAAACATTAATAAATCAACACGTAATGAAGCAAATTTAAAATTTTTTTTGCAAGGTTGAATAGAGAATAAAACCCCCTTTCAAATGAGCTATCACTCACCACCCCATGCCATTTAAATTTTTCGAAAGGGTTGTTCCCCTCCATTAAGGGTAAACTAATCATACAAAAATGTACACTGTAGAAAACAAAAATCGACCTGTCTCGGCGATTTTCCTAACAAGACTCCAGTAACGAGTTAGTTAGGGGGGGTAAGACATGATGCTCACTGTATATTAAGTTAACCTCTAAATATTTACAGAGGTACAAAATAACCGAAAAAGGCCTGTAATAACTAGATGGGAAAGTCAGGTGTTGGACACATCAGATTTTTATTCTTAATAACAGTATTTACAATTTTGACTCTCTATTAATTTTTGAATGTGGTATTCTTTTTCTTAGTTCTCTTCTTAAAATTTTTCCACTTGCATTTTTTGGGATTGCTTCTACGAAAACAACTCCACCTCTTAGCCTTTTCTGCGGAGATACTATTTCTAAAAAAAAGTTAATATATTTTAAATTAATTAGGAATTTGTTTAAACAAAATTAACAGTTTTACAAAATAAATAAAACTCGAAATCTATACCATATAGGTATTACATAAATTAGAATTTGTGATATAGATTTCGAATTTTACGAGTATTTATCTGATAAAAGATGACCACATTCGCTTAATTATTTTATACAGAATGTTTTTCAATTTGTTAAGCGTTATAATATGTTGAGAATTAATATTGAGCTGCTATTATTTAGAAGAAAATGTTACAAATATTCTACTAACTTGGAGACATGTCGTTATACAGTGTGATAATTGAAAAACCTACAATGAACTAAAGATGATATCAGAAAAGGCTTAAAACTGTTTCTTGGATACGAAAATGAACTTAAATACAGAACTCCACCCGTAACTCTATAAAAAAATGCATTTCAAAAATACCATATATAGAATGGTTCAATAGTACATAATAATTCAAAAAGAAGATGGCTTGTTTATCTGAAATAAATTAGTATATAAATGTTTGTGAATCCGAGGTTAGATCAATGGTCCTTCCTGAGTTTACACGGTAAATCCAAGCTCCTGTGCTATTTTTTTATCTTCAAACCGTATGTATACCAAATTGATTCGTTTTGTGTTTCCCTATTTCCCAAAAGGCCCTTTCTGATATTTGAATATTGAAAGGTATCATAATGTAGGTTTTTTATCCAATAGCATTCTTAACGCCGGATTTTGTTTTAGTTTCTTAAATATCTTAAATATCATATGGTGTACTTTTCTCGAAAGTTCCCATTTAAATCCATAATTAGAGCATTACTAAATTAATTAAAAATAACCGTACCTACCAGATTCTTTTTAAATACCTACGTTTTAATTTCGTATCCTGTATAGGGTATAATGTAACGATTGTTTATTTAAAAAATGGTTTATTTATCTAAAACAGCTTATTTATAATTTATTTACACCATGTACTAATTTATTTATTTATTTTACAATTTACCTTTTCTTGACAATATTTATATTAAAACTTAACTTCGTACGGCAACATAATTCGTTTATAAATGAAAATGTAACAGCCTAGAAAAAATCCAACAGCCTAGAAAAACCCAACAGCCTAGAAAAAATCCAATCCTGACTAGAATGCTCGATGCTAGTCTAGAAATTCGCGAAATCCTTCCTCCATGCGTTGGACTACATACAGAGATTCTAGATCGCCAACGGGCCAACATCAGACGTAAAGGCAGCGGTGTCGGTCAACAAAGAACAGGGCTGGTGCCAGGTAACGTCGCACGACATTACCTTATATCTTCGAGAAGTATTTTTTACTAGCTTTCCAATGATGTACGATAAGTAATTTGTTTAATTGAGGTAGTTGGCACACAGGGGGTTAATGGGAGTGAGTTTTGTATTTTGCCATTTACGTTCCTCCATCTTATCCTAAAAACCGTTTCAAGCATTTTCTGATATCATATTTAATTCATGAAATATAGCCTTCGTAAGTTTTTAAATTATTACCTTGCAAGCCAGAAGGCCTTCGGCGCGAGGATGTATCTCTTCCGTTGGGCGTTATTATATGACATACGTGGTTTATACAAAATGTTATTTTTCATTAAAAGCATATTTTTTACGCATTTTATTCAGTAGATAGTCGATGACAGTTGTTTAATAATTTACATTTATTATTTGCATTTGTCAGAATGGGATCTTTCAAATTTCGTTCATTGCTATCGGCTTTAAAAATTGTTAAACAGGTAAGGATATTTAAACGCTGACATAGTGCTATTTGTTTTTTTTTACGTGTGATCCTATTGTACCTTGTCCAATTCACTGTAAAATCAATGTATCGCGTTTAGATTTTCGTAACTGTTTATAAATTATTTTGGTAGCTCTATAACATTATTTCATATTTAAAATGATTGAAAATAAATAATTTATTTTCGTAAAACTTTTTTTTTCTCACACAACAATAAAATAAATTCGCTGTTTTACTTTGATTGGAGTCAACTCAGTTGATTTTTTACTTACTTGCTACAGCTTCTACAAGTTCTTGTTCGGTAACGTCTACTCCTGGTTTTTTAGCTACAAAAGCTAAAGGTAGTTCTCCTGCAACCTCATCAGGTGCTCCAACGACTCCTACGTCGAGAACTTTGGGATGGTTTAGTAGGATTGCTTCTAGCTCTGCGGGAGCAACCTGAAAGTACAGCAAACATTGTTTTTGAAACTTGCCAATCACGGTCAATATAAAATGAAAATATTCATTTAAATTAAAAAATAGGTATATCTGTAGAAGTTTCATCATGGGAACTTATTTGTCGGACCTATTCACATCATATGGCCGTATTTCGTAGAAATTTAGTCTGTAGTTTGAACTGAAAGAGTGTCCGTTATAACTAAGCAAAATGTCCAATAATATCTGCATGTTTCCATATTTTTAATCACTATTAATTTTTATAATGATATAATGTACACCAAGTGACTGAAGTGGCACTTTTTATCCCGAGGCGAAATGTTTGTAGCCCGACGGGAGGGAAGGCTAATTTGTCGAGGTACGAGTATAAAAGACCCTTCAGTCCCGCTATTTCACGCACTTTAGGAAAAGAAAAACAAGTTATGAAAAACCAATTAACGGTACTCTAATAACAAAGCAAATTCGTTGTCAGTGCAAGTTTATTATAATTTTGTATTATGTTTTCGGTTATATATATGTAAGTATATTGTACTTTTAATCCCTAGCGATTTTTAATGTGATATTTTAGTCCCTATAAAGTGAATAAATATATTTAAACGTACAAAATCTTTTAGTTTTATAAAACAACATAGTTTCATACAAAATTATCTACTGGCCTTCAACGTGTTAAAAAAATGACGATACTTATGAAACACCATATATAGATAAACTCATGCATAAGACTGGCCACCATAAAGCTACGCGGATTAGGGATTCCGCGTGAATTAACTTCTGCTGCTTGAAGAACCCCAAATAGAGCGAAACTAATAGTAGAATGTTAACTCCATTATAAATCAAATGGTTTGTTGTTGATGGCAAACACGCATTAAATCATTTGTAATTCAATGTCCAGAGGGGCATACAGCCTTGGAAGTAGTTGTTTTGTGTTGTATGATCGCTATGTGCCTACCTCGACTAATAATCGGGTTTGAAGGAAGGTGCCAACACAATGAAGTGGGGAGGGGTACAATGATAACTGTCAATGAAAAAGTATAGACACTATGCACAGTTTCATTTTGTACATTTTATAAACAAGATTCAGGGACGGTTTAACAACATTTTGTGCAACAATTATAAAATAGTGCATCGGAAAATAATTAACAAGTACAATTTAAATCGAAATCAAAGCACAAATAATCACAAATATAAGCAAGATAACAAACCCCACTTCTGCAATGGAAGCACTAATAGGACTCCCACCTCTTCACTATGTGATACAAGGGGAGGCAAGATTAGATGCTTACAGATTAGAGAATACACTGGGAAATCTTGACATTAGGCCAGGTCACATGTCAAGGTTAGTGACAGGAGACGTGCTAGACATGAGATCAGACCACATAACCAAGAGGTACTCTTTTAATACTCCCTTTGAGGTTTTAATACAGGAAAGAGCGGAGATCACCATAAAGGAGCCCAATTCCCAACGACAGGAACATACCTGGTATACAGACGGGTCTAAGACTGCGGAAGGCACTGGGGCAGGAGTATTCTCCAAAAACCCTGATACTAACCATAGCTATGCTATAGGAATACATTCCTCGGTATTTCAGGCCGAGGTATACTCAATTTTGCAATGTGCAAAAACGAAAAATGAAAGAGCTGTCGAAAATAAGCATTTTCAAATAATGTCAGACAGCCAAGCGGCACTTTAAGGCCATTCTGACTCGATATGGTCGAGGCTGGTATGGGAATGCCTCGAAGAACTAAGAACACTGGCAGACCGAAATAGAGTAAAACTATTTTGGGTGCCAGGTCACAAAGGGATCGAAGGCAACGAAAAGGCTGACGAACTTGCAAAAAGAGGGTCAGAAGAAACACCGGAACCAGACTACTCTTAATGAATAGAAACCAGTTGAAAGTGATAACAGGGTTCATAACTGGGCACGCTCTAGTAAAGGGACACTTGAACAAAATTGGCACGTACAATGGGGAACTCATGTGCCGACTATGTCACAAGAAACCAGAAACGGCCAAACACACTGTGCGAATGCGAAGCTCTAGATCGCAAAAGACATGCTCTTTTTGGACAACCCCAGGTTGATCCAACAACGTATAGAACCCACTCACCCAAGCATCTGTACAAACTTGTACAATGTACAAAGGTGATAGAGTGGGTGCTATGAACTAACATGGGGTAAAACACAATAAGCCAATAGGCTTCAGTGTTATTCGGAGACACATAGTCAGACGAGCCCAGGGAGAAAAAGAAAAAAAAGGTCTGGTAACGTTTAGGAAAATGGAGTAAATTGCGTCGTATCTAAAAATGTATTTTGCATAGAAATAATATAGAAGACCCAATATAAATGGAATATTTAAGCAGAAATTTAAACCTACTGCGCACAAAAACGCGTCTCTGCGCAGGAAATCACAAAATAGTGTGTCTATAAGCATGCGCAGTATGCGTGACTTGTCCCTGTAGCGTTGTCAGGTATACTAATCAAACCTTACATCAAATAATTTCAAATTAACGATTTAAACAGTTTATATAATCAATATTTAATAGCTATTTATGAAACCAGTTGCGAAACGCATTATTTTATGTAACGAGTGAATATTTACGGGACGAATAGAGCGAGATCCCGCAACATGAACGAGTTACATAAAACGGCATTATGTAAAGCCGGCTACTCACTAAGCGTTACTTGCCGAGTTACTTGACTTGGACTGAACTTGGCAAGTACTTGTTCGAGTACAACTAAATCGTCTACATTACGCGCGCCTTCTAAAGTAGTAGTAGTAACTTTACTCGGATCCTTTGACTTCGGTCCGTTTACCGACAACCGACGGGAAGTACAAGTAACTTGCTGAGTCTATACAAGTCTCCATACACATTACATGGTACTTGCAAAGTACTTGGCAAGTAACGCGTAGTGAGTAGCCGGCTTAATGTGTTAAATATAAAAATTTTTTCTCCAATTTTGACTAAAATGGTGTTTTGGTTACTTTCTTGTATTGTTAGTTGCATAAGCATAATTTTATTAACAATTAGAAGCACGATTAAAATATCATTATTAATTATTCTCAACGACTTGCAGTATGTTTATATTGTATATTAAAGTTATTTAGTCTTCAAAAAAGTAGATTATTTGGTCGTGTATTGTGTTTTAATTATTTTGTGCTGATTTGGACTGGAAAATAAGGACCAAAACAACATTATTACTAGGTTGTAATAACTAAAGTCAACCTGCCGTTCTTTTAATAACAATATATATTATTGATTTTAAAACCAAAAAAAGAATTATTATTTCTTTTCTTTTCGCAACTGGTGACGTTATGAATTTTTCGAAACCAGTTTCATAATGTTCAACATTATACAACTGGTTCTGTAAAGTAGATCATTTTGATACTTGCTGCGTTTACAAAAATGTCACTTTATATGTCAAAATTAGAAAAATAAACAACTGATATTTATGTGTAATTATATGTATACAAATATATTAAAGATATGATCACCATGCGATCACCTATTTATTATGACTTGGCAACAATGCTCAAATCGGGAGTTCCAAGGCTATATGATGCTTACCTTCACAGTAAAACAAAATGCTAAATTATCCAGACAAACAGTTTTCGAGATATGGCCAGACGTCGCCCCTAAGAATGACTTTCAGAATTATGTATACTTGACATTTCTTTATTATATAAAATACTTCTAAAAATTTATGAACTACTAACTTGAAACATCGTGTATGTTCACTTATGTATCGATCAATAAAAAACTTGATCCGGTCCTATCCAAACCGTCACCGTTATGCGCATGTGCTCCGACATACCATTTGCTTACCTAGATGACCTCTATCTAACTTAACCTAACGACCAACGTTTAATACTAGCAATTTTATTATACTTGAAGATACTATTTTTTACCTGATATCCTTTGTACTTTATAAGTTCTTTCAATCTATCGACAATGAAAAAATATTTATCCTCATCGTAGTAACCTAAATCTCCACTTTTTAACCATCCATCTTCAGTGAATGTTTCTTTGGTAGCTTGAGGATTTTTATAGTAGCCTTTCATGACCATGGGACCTTTTATACATATTTCTCCAACTTGGTTTGGACCTAGAGACCGTCCGGTTTCAGGATCTCGCACTTTAATCGACATCATAGATATGACTAAACCACTGGAACCGGGTTTCAAGAGATCCGACCGTTTCATCATTGTAACCGCCAGGTTGCATTCCGTAAGTCCGTATGCTTGTCTAATTTGAGAAACGTTCAGTCTAAAAATAGATTAGGTATTTGTCTTTGATCCTGTGATATTCAAATTTTCAAATAAATATAATGCAAAATATGATGCAGTTTTTTTAAATCTTTTATTTAGCCCTTTTTAGTGAACAAAAATGCGAGTCGAGTGGGTAAAATTTTGCGATTTTGATGGAAAAGTCGGTAACCCTGCTCTGATACCTTATCTTTACTTAAATAAATAATACTATTAATAAAAAAATATGTTTATTAATTAAAGTTTGGGTTTTTGAAAAGAAAAATCTTTATTAATTAGGCTACATTATGAATAAATAACTACCTACTTAAATATTAAATTATTATTGAAAACAAACATTTTTTTTTAAATTAATACGTTAATAAACTCAATTAACATTAAACAATAAAGCAATAGTAATGCATCCGTGAAATATCTATTTTAATAATGACTTCTTGGATGTGTACCGTACATTATTTTCAAAAGTAAAGGTACAATTTAGTCACACGATACCTACCTATTACAAAAATAGTCTAGAAATTGTACGATATAAGAAAATAATGCTTTATTAAAAAACCTGTTAGAAGTTGAACGAATTTACTTAAAAATTATTGTTTTTAAATGATTTGTCACCCTGTATACTGTATCACCCTGTATAGCCTCTTCACAAAACACGTATTAACATGATTTTATAATGTTCCCAGCTAGCACATAACGTTGCCAAGTCTTTCGGCGATGTTGTTTTAAGAGAACGTAATAACATTACTATACAACGTAAATGCAACGTTCATGAGAAGTTGTTGAGGGAAAACAAAACCTCGCAAAACTTCTATTTGTTACTTACGTATTTAAGTTACCTGTTATGATAACTTAACGTAATAAAATAATTAGCTAAAAAACTATTCACGAAAAGTGTATTGTTTTCGAACGTAGCCATTTGTTTGTCATAAGTCATAACAAAAAAATGTCACTTGTCACTTTTTCTTGTGGTATGTATTTGAGCTTTTAAAGAATTTGTAAACTATTTATACGTTTGAATAAGTTTAGTAAGATCTTTTCTTCTTTGCAATAAAATAGAAACATATTTTCTAATTTATTGTCTGCTGTTTTAGATTGCAATATTTTAGTTTCCAACTATAATTAAAAATAAATCATTGTAAACCAGAAGATACAATTAAATGACTGGTTATATTTTACACGATAATAGGGATCTTATCGATGCCTCGATACTATAGAAGCAAGGCCGTAGCCAGGGGGGATCAATGGGGATTGATCCCCTCCGAAATAAAAAAAGATATTTATTTTAGACTTTTAATAAATATTAATGAGACTGCAGTTATATACAGTGCGCCCGTCTCACTTTGTTGTTATACACAACATAATAGTTAATCACTACAAACAAAATTCTCTACCTACTGTTATTTTTATTATGTCTGACTTTATGCTCGCTTGGTATTCGCACGACGATACTTAGATAGCGGCGCAGCGACATCTATTAGGGAGCGGCGAAACTACGTGCTACGCCAACTACACAAGTAACGCAACTTCGGGGACGGGCTCGAACAGCATTTCGGGAATATTCAATAAGCATAGAATGAGACGGGCTATTCTCGATGTTTCATTGCGCCGCATAGAGATGTGAACTCTTCGTTCTTTTTAAAGACCTAGTTCGCACGAACTAGTTCACCCGCGCGAACTCCGAACGAAAGAATTACAATACAATACCATAGATACAATATACAATACCGATATCCGATACCGATCAGAGACGACGTATATCGTATATCAATCATGTTCGTTCTCGTTCATCGTTCTTTTCTCATCGCTGCCGCTGAAGGTCCAAAGGTCGAGTCAAACTAGTGAACTAGTTCAATTAAAACATTCGAACTAGTTCATTTAGTTCACACAAAAGAATGGCTCATTTTAATAGTTCGTTCGCGAACTACACATCTCTAGCGCCGCATCTGCGGAATATATAAGCGAGCCGTCGAGCACGGAGAGGCAGTTCTGTCTTGGAAAGTGATCCAATGCGATCGACTAAGGCGATATAAGCGAAGTAATAGTGCAGTGTGTGAAATAATAGTGCTGTGAATTAGTAAGTAGTAGTAAGTGGTGTTATAATTTTTGGAATTTAAATTAAAATTAAAATTAAAAGGATTTGATGCCTAAGAGTAGACTACCTACTGGTATTCATTTTCTTTTAAATCTTTATCGAAGTAAATATTTGTTTACAAATGGAATTAATACTTGGCTGTTTTTTTAATTGTTACGTCGGTTCAACATTTGAAATGGCAAAAAGGACGCAATAAAATACATTATTCAAATATTTATTTAAAAAATCTAAACCTGGTATTGGCAGTGAAGGATCTACTCAAAATCAGTGTTTAAGTGTTTTCGACAGTGATACTGCTACAAGTAGTTCTGGTACTTCTGCTGCCGTTCCTGGGACTGTGGATGATGTTTCTCAGCATGTTTTAGATGTGGGCTATTATACGGGATCAAACACCAAAATTGATGATGATTTAAAGTACAGATTGTTGAAATCTCCTTGGATGCCAGAAAAGACATTCAAGTTTCCAGTAATTGACGATAAAAGAAAGCTAAAATTTCAAATGCAATGGTTTGAACGGTTCTCGTGGTTGGTTTACACGAGTACAGGGCAACAAGGTGTTTTATGCAAATATTGTGTATTATTTGCCAAAGATTGCGCAGGTAAAGGCTCTCATCAGCAGTTGAAATCCTTAGTTACTCAGCCGCTTACTAAATGGAAAGATGCTGTACATGATTTCAAACATCACAGTGAAAGCCAGTACCACAAATCCTTCTGTATTATTGGCTGATAATTTTATAAAGGTGTATAATAAATCTCAACCAAATATAATAAGTCAGATTCATAGCGGATACCTAGCGCAAATAGCTGAAAATCGGAAACGGCTCATTCCGATTATTGAAACAATTAAATTATGTGAACGTCAAGAATTGGCACTGGGAAGCAGATATGGAGACTTAAATCTAATAAAGCACACAGAAAATATGACGTTAAACGCTACCTACCTAAGCCCGACCATACAAAATGAACTTATTGCAATTTGTGGTGAAATAATCCAGAAAAAAATTGTGCAAGGATTAAATTCTGCGAAATTTTTTTCAATCCTTGTTGACGAAACTACTGATGTTTCACGACAAGAACAGATGTCCATTTGTCTAAGGTATGCCGAGCCAAAAGATAATGGTTTTTTCTTGCGTGAAGATTTTTTAACTTTTGTAACAGTTGAGATTACAAAAGGAAGATATTTAGCTAATGCGATTTTATCTGAATTAAAATCTTTGGGAGTAGATTGCGAATATTTAGTCGGAGAAGGATATGATGAAGCTTCTTCGATGAAAGGAAGTTTTAAAGGTGTGCAGGCAGTAATTCGTGAGTCACATCCAAAGGCCTTATACGTTCGTTGCAGCTCACATTCATTGAATTTAGCTCTGGGTCATTCTTGCCAGGTTCAGCCTATTCGAAATACTATTGGAATTATAAAATCGGTTGGAAATTTTATCAAGTCCTCGGCAAAACGAACCAAGTGTTTAAAAGATAATATCGAAAAAAACTTTTCTGAAGTACAATGGAAAAATCTTACGGCAATGTGCGAGACCCGCTGCACATACGGCAATTAGCGAGAATTAGCACGCCAAAAATAGTTGTATTTTTCAAAGTAATTTTTTTGCTTAGATTTGATTGAAAAAACAATGTAAGTTGTTGAATAGACTGCCAGGTTGTCACATTTCACATAAAAATACATAAAAAGTGGTTTATAAATAAAATTTTATTTAGTTATCTAATTAAGGCGTCAAGTTTTAATCATTTATATAACACTACTAAAATACGTGAAAATAATGCACATACATTTTGAGAACGCTTTACGTCATTATTTTAATGATTAACTGAAATACAAATAATGTACAGAAATTAGTTTTTTATTCGGAATTATTAGTCACTATCTGGATTTATATCACGTTGTACACCATCTAAACTATAACTTAAGAAAGTAACATACTCAGTACAGCTTCTGAAAAAGGGTTTATTTCGCTTTTTTTTGTATTTGTAATCAGGGGATATGATGACGTAGCATTCTATTCATTATGTCTCTGTCCGGTTCCAATCTCGATGTCTTCCGTGAGTGATACAACCTTACAAGCTAATACTTCTTCTGGAGTGTATATAGCCATGAATCAAAATATGACGAATTATGAATTTCTTTGGTTTTTTCTCTGTGCGCGGAGACAAGCTTATAGCTAATTTTATAACTTGCGCCAAAGTTCTTTCTCCACTTTTGAACAGACTCATTTCTGCAGCTTTGCAAAGTGTTTCTTTGCACATGCTTAACACAAGAGGTCCTACTTTTCTTAACTTCGACTGTACAGAGCTCTCATCGAAAAAATTTTTTGTTCTTCCATGTTTTTGATAATTTCTTACTTCTTCTGCCGTGGGTGTTGCAGAAATATTATAGTCTAATCTAGGAATTATTATCTATCTATCCATAAAGCATATTTTTTTTGTGAATCTTGCGGGATATAACTTTGCATATCTTCCACTTTTTGTTAAGTTTCGACACGAATATCTTTATAGTACATTTAAAACGTTTTTCCGAGCACGTGGGAATTTTTGATGTATTAAATTTAATTAATATGTACCGTTTTACTTTTTCAATGCACTTAGCAGTCAACAGTTTAAAGAATTTATCGCTTTGTAGAACAGAAAAAAATTAATTTCTAGTGATTTTGGGGAGATGCGGATCAACGTTGTTGTGACTACCTCTAAACAAAATAACTTGTATCAGACAGAGGACACTTGGGGACGCAAATTTTTTTAAGCTCTTAAAGATAAAGGTCTTATCTAACTATAACATAAAAAACGAGAGTGGAACTCGGTGGAACTTTTTTTGTAGCCCTCCCAGAAATTAGCCGTATACAAAAAAGAATGAATAAAATTAGGTCCACCAAAAGCTGCCGTTATTATTAGGCAAGAAACAAATAAATACATTGTTAATACTTGAATAAGAAATACATACATGAAGCTTCACAGTCCATCCTGAAAAATTTCTTGGATTACAACATTTAAACAACAACACGTACTTTTCCAACAAGTGTTCGCATGCTGATTTATGCGTCAACTACACTTAAGACTGAAAGTGCACTCTTTCTACCCATATTACTCTCTTATTTATCCGCGGTTCTCGGTGGCGTAAAGCCAGATAAGAGCACGAATGTATACAGAACAATACTGTGTGGATGAAACATGTTTTTAAAATATCAATTTTTTTTATTTTTGGCGCGCTAAATAAGGATAATTGCCGTATGTGCGCTGGGTAGAAAATCATGATGGGTTGTTAAGATTTAAAGAAATTTATAAAGCTATTGTTGATACACTAGACGACTTAAGCACTGACATGGATTCTGAAACATCATCAAAGGCCAATTCTTTTCTGAGATCAGTCATTTCAAGTGATTTTGTTATATATGCTTATGTTGCTTAGGAATGCTGTTCCCGTACACACTGACGCTATGCAAAATACTTCAATCGCCCCTATGCGATTTGGCAGCAGCTTCACAATAGGTTGATTTAATTATAAAGTCTATTGAAGATGTTCGCCAAAATATTGATTCAAAATTTGCTGAACTTTTCAAGAATGCACAGAATTTGCTCAGTACTGTAAACGAGGAAATGAAAATTCCGCGAACAACGTCACGTTAAGAGCATAGAGCAAACTAAAATACTTATTTTTTGCACTTGTTGCATAAATAACTAAAATTTATTACCTCCACAGTTATTTTTCACAGATGAGACTATTGTAACGTGCATACTATTTGAGCCGTCCCTGAGTACACCGAAAACTGGGGGGAGACAGAGAGAGAGAGAGAGAGGGAAAATCGACACAACTGTCATGGTGTGAACGACAGACGTTAACTGACATTTTTTTCCTCAAAGTTAATTATCATTGTTTTCTCAAATTGTTTTATTCTTTTAAGTTAGTCATTCAGTTAGTAAAATTGTGCAACGGTATTTCTTATTGCTCCATTAATTACGTGAGGTATTTTTGAGGATTTTTTGACCCCCTCTCCCCCCCTGGTGAGATTTCGTAAGATTTTCCTCAACTCCCTCCCCCCTCCCCTAATCTCTCGTGAGATTTTTCAAAATGTGCGTTGGATTATTAAAAAAACAAACACAATATGTTTTATTACTTTTATTTAAGACTAAAAATTTCTAGAAACATTCTTTACTTTAATTTAATTTTCACGCAATTTTACAACGTTTTCTACTAGAAAAAAAATACGTCAGATTTACAAAGACCCCCCTCTCCCCCAAGTGAGATTTAGAAAGATTTATCTTGATCCCCTCCCCCCCGTGAACACCTCACGTAATTAATGGACGCCCCTTTATTAAATTCACATTTAGTGCAATTCAGTGCCGTTTTCCTTCACAATACCTAGCTTCGCCTACATTCCGCTAAATCCCACAAATCACCGTCTGTAATCACGCAGAACCCTAAACCCACCTTACAATATATAATTAAGTCAACATTTATATTAAAACTATGATTAGTACCAGTTGTAGGTAAGTATTGTGATGTTTGTTTATTTTAAAACAACAGTTTATTTATTATTAATTTATTTAAACACTTATTTATTTTATAACACTACTATTCTAATTTATATATATTTCGAATGTCTTTGAATCGTTCACTATTTATATTCACAATCCAATACTTTATTGTCAGCTGTCTATATATCACTGATTACCTGTGTTCCTCCACCGGTATTTATATACAAAGTTTAAATTATTGGTAGGGCTCCAGAACGTTCTCGCAAAAATTAGAAACACCATCACGTTATATTTGGAATACACTACAAACATTATCACGTTCTTTCTCGAATAGTAATCGAAAGCACCTCCGCCATAGTCGTCACATATGTTTGGTCTTAAGGGGTTTAATTACGTATAATAATCGGACAAGTTGAGCCTCAAAAGCCAAATAAGACAGAGAGGGACTTGGATGATTAAAGCATCACTGAATAATGAAATGGTTCACATAACAGTATCTTTTTTTTTTAGAATCGTACAACTGCCATCCTAATAAAAATCTAGTGACTTTTGAAATATACCTTATATAAATACACTTTTTACTACTTTTGTACAATCGATCACCATTTTAGCTACTAGTGAACCTTTGCAATATTGGTACCTTATACTCTTTCATGCAATCGTTCAGTATTTGAGATATTCCTTATATACCCTTCATACCTACTTTTGTCCAATTTTTCAGTGTTTTCTCTTATGGTATCACACATGTGCATTTGTGTTACCTTGTGATATACCTATATTATTAATACCTACCTCTACTTATATGATATTGTTACTTAATTTAAGGAGCTTTTTAATAATAAATTTATACAATTTTTTGTTTTGTTTTACTCAGATTTTACTATCCTCAATATGCTATTTTACAATACTTGTAAAAATATTTATTAGAAATTTAAAAAAAAAAGTAATTTTTCATAATTTCTCAACGTTAATCGTATTTATTTAACAAGCAAAAGAAATTATAAAGAACTTGTTTAATTTAAAATAAATATTTTTACAAGTATTCACATTATAACATCTATAAAATGTTTCAGAGCAACTTTCGAAGAAAGTACCGTAAAAGTGCTAGTGTAATCTTTTCCGAACTTTACTTTGTAACCTCTATTAGATGTGCTATAAAAGTCTTGCCGTTGCGGACATTCGGCGGTTGCATGGATATTAGGGTTATATTAAAAGTATATTACATGCGAGCTTAAAGAGCCTAAAATTGCAGCTTATTAACGTAGATGGGATGTTTTTGTGCTAGCTGGGTTTTACTAAATATCTTGAGAAACTAAACAATGTTAAAATCTAATTAATTAAAGGACAACATGAAAAATGTCTTTAACGAGTACTAACGTTTTCTTGCTTGCGTTCGATCGATTAAAATTCAAGTGTACCCGTTCCTTCTCGGATGCTGCGACGAGCGCGCTGACATTGACGTCAGCGGCGCCGGTCTCCTAATTCGCTGACTAACAATATATTGTAATATACACTTTTTTTAAGTAAAACCACAATCAAAAAAATTCTGAAGCAGTTTAGGCAATTCACAGTTGCTATTTCGGTAAAATTTTAAACTGAATAGAAGATAATAATTTCTAGTTTCAAAACATTCAAGCCTATTTTATTTCTGCATCAACAGTAATAGGTGAAGAACATTTTAATTTTTTTTTTATTTTTTGCTTAGATGTTACATACCATTCTGGACAAGCAAGAAAGAATATTTTCTTTAAACAATAGGAACGAGCACGCCATTGGTTAGTTAAACAACTTGAGCTTATCTGCAAATGCACAATTTATACAAATAAAACGTTTTGTTTGTTAACATATTCAATATCACAATTTTTTGTAATTTAAATCAAATAGGTAATTTGATTTCCATATTCATGGCAACATAAAACACAATTATATTTTATGAAATTTTATCTTAAAAAAAATAACTAGAAATACGTCTATAATATGGCTATGTACAATGTACAAGTGGTTCAATTACCTACAAAGTTGCTAGATCTTAAAATGTTTATCTAAAATAAGTAGATAACATATTAGTTAAGTAATTGTTTAAATCAAATATGTAACACAATAAAATTAGAGTGTGTTTATTAAAGTTTTATTTATATTATTTTAGATTGTATTCATTTGAAAACACATCACTACAAGCAGTGGCGGCTCGTACCTTAGCAAAAAGTAGTGCGGCGACCAAATTTGGACCCAAAAGTCGTTCAAAAAAACACTCTTTGGGTAATTTTTTTTAGGTATTTTTATTTAAACGGTAACACGTGTTTTCACCATTTTTATAAATTAATAAATAACATAAAAACTAGAATTGAGTGGTAATTTATTGTACTCTAAAACTATACAGTAAAATGAATAAGTTTTACTTGCGAAAAGGTCAATAATTCGTTTATTAAAGTCTTTAATGTTGTTGTCATTTATTTTTACAGTAACTTTTACTTTTTCTTAGCTTATTTAAAAGCTATGGGAAGATTAATTTGAATGGTATATAGTAATAATAAAAACATCGAAACTGAAACATCTTTGAATCGAAATATAATTCATTTTCAGAGTTATTATAAAATTGTATTCGAATTTTTCTTACCTTTTCTTTAGCACATTTTCCAGTTCCTTTGACATTGGTGCAGCTCCACAGATAATTTCTTCAATACAAGATAGGTTATATTTTTTTACTTTTGGACTTTTAGCCAGAAACGTAGCCAATGTTGGAGCTATAGCTACGGTACTTATTTTAAAATCTTGTATAGTTTTTAAAAATACATCTTCGTCGAATTTCTTAAAAACCACTACCTTTTCTTTATTGAGAATTGAATTTAGTGTTACATTGAGTCCAAATCCATGGAAGAATGGCATAAGACCTAAAACTGTGTTTCCATAGATCGGTCTAGTAGTAATTAGTGGATCCCTGTAAAAGACAAAAACGTGACAGCGGACGGACATTTTTAAAAATTTTGGTTTCTTGAAAGTAAACCAATAATTATCTTCACAGACTACTCTTTCTAACAAAAAAGAATCATAGAAATCAAACAACGTGGTAAAGAATTATCGCTAAAAATATATAAAAAATGAGACTGATGAATTTCTCATGAACCCCATTATGAGATTTTGATCAAATTTATATAGGACCACCCCTGAGGAACCATAAAAATTGGATAAAGTTGTAAATAATTATCTCTGAACATACATAAAAAAAAATGTTCCGACGAATTGAGAATCTTCTCAATTTTTTGAAGTCGGTTAAAAATGGAAGAACGAATGATCATTAAATGCGTTGTCATATTGTATTTATATGATTAATTTTTTATAATTTTTTGGTGGGAAAACGAAGTTTGATGATGAAATCTATCATCAGAGCCTGGCCAAATTTATATGAGACCAGTGCTAACAAAAAAAAAAAATATATAAATCGGACTAGGTAAAGAATTACCGCAGAAAATAGGTACACAAAAAAAGTATTCCGAATAACTGAGGATATTTTAACGTTTTGTAAATCAATTTTTAATATTCATTGCAAGAAAATACAATTTTCATGTAAGTACATAAAACGATCACCGTTTTGTAGTGAAACTACATAATACGTCAAGCTTTAGGACTGATAATAATTATGGGATTTCAGGGTCATATTATTAAGTAGCATGTTTAATCTAAGGGAATCTCTGAAATTATTCGTTGTTGATCCGTGAAACCTGGTAGATAATGAACTGGATATCAGGAAACTGCTTATTATCTGATGCGCTTCATTGGCTTGCTCTCAGTTTGCTAAGGGCTGAGGGTCGATTACAGAGGAGAGAATATCAGATCAAATTAGACACAGTCAAGTTCATGGGTGAGAAGTTGTAGTAGATGTGCATCGTTTTATTATAGTTATGTACATATTTTACACCATTTTGGTCTTCTATAGGTAATAATATAACAGAGTATTTAATATGTGATAGTAGACTGAATTTTATTGCACATAGCTTGTAATTATGAAGACTAGAGAAAAGGAGGCCAATCGGCAATGGTCAATTTTCCGTCCTTCTTTTTATAAAGTTCGCGAAATTGACTGTCGAATGACAGCGGTGTTAATTTTATATCTAAGTAAATATAAAATGAAGTGATTTTTTAAAAAATTGGTGAAAAGAATCAAAATAATGAGAAAAAAGTACCTGAGTACAAGTAACATGAGTGACAAAAACATCAAAGCAAGATTTACGTCGTTCCAGATTATAAAACAGGATAAAAATTAAATGTAAAACTAAAGAAAACACAAGAAGAAATCAATTAAATGTCTTTAAAGCTTCTGATGTAAGTAAAATAGTGTATTCATGACTAAATATATTTATTGTAAACAAAATGTATTTTACGAAGTGTAGTTTATTTTATTACAAGTTTCTATAATATAAAATTTTACAGTCATAGATACTGACTTACAAACAACAATAATTATGCATTAAATTTAACTTACTAGAAAAGAAAATTTATTTTTATAGAGTTTTAATGTTACATAAAGAGTTGCTACTGTTATTTGTTTTTGGACTTCAATTGTGTCATTGTAAATACTTTCACTTTTTTCAAAAATCTTTATTTACAATATATACATTTTTTTTACATTCTAATACAATTCAAATATTTTATTTACAAAGGGGTTACTTCTCAATGGCATCGTGAAGTGTTCATCCTTTGTTTATGACCCCCGATGGAGCCATGACCGATGTCGTGGCCGTATATTTCAATTGTTCTTAGTTTAAATTTTGATTTAAAGTGGCCTCTCCTTGTTAAACTCAACATTATAGGTCAATATAGGCTATTAACTAGATCATTAATGGAAAAGTTTCAGATTTTTGTATGATTTTAATTGTGTCTGTCTTCCCTGAAAAACCGATTGAAAAAACAGGGTAAATCATTGTAAATACTAAACGTTTAGAACAGTAGTAGCATATATATCGTTCCTAGTGCCGATAAAGCACTTTCTACAGATGATGCTGTTCTATAATTTTTAGAAGATATTATCAAATATTATGAGACTATTTTTACTGATGGTACTGTTAGCAAAATAAAAAGGGGAAAGCTGAAATTAAAGGATGAGGTAATACCATGTACATTCCCAAATCTCCCTTTATACTTGTATTACAACAATAAAAATCTATTAACTGTGTTTTATTTTACTCTTAAAACTATATATTGGTTCAATTCCAAAAAAAATTTGCCACAAAATTGTACCTATCAAATTTCAGCATTTAAAAAACCGTTTCGAATTTGGTCATACATAGCTAATTTGTATTATATAAAATTAAATAATTTATCAATTAAAATATGCAAGGCTTATTTAGAAATAAATACAACAGTATGTTCTGTGCTTTATTCAGCTATAAACAAGTTTATTTTTACTACTTTAACAAAATTATGTATAATTCCCATAAGAAACATGACTTTGAACAGCGCCCATGTGTTAATTATAGAAGCTCAAACAGCATGCGTTTTTGGGACCGTATTTTGAGTATGCCGATTTGCCTCCTTATCTCTAGTCATTTATCGGGATTACTACTAATTGTTATTTGTACATTATGATGTACCTACCAATATTTTAATGTAAAATATGCCCACTTTATGTAGATCTATGAATTTTGCGATGGTAATTCAATAGCTGCGAAAAGAGAGTACGCCATACGCTTTCCTGGGCGACGAATACCAAATAATAAAACCTTTTTTCTACACCCACATGGATATTAGCTTATCTACGCATAGCTTACAAAACAAAAAAGTATGCTATATACAGTGTGTCGCATTTAAGATGAAGACACCCCTATATTTTGTCTATCTAAATAAATACAGATTTGAAGTTTTGCACAGTCATACAGGGTGATGGTTCACATTTTTTAGTATACTCAACTGAAATTTAAATTTTAAACGCGGCCTACTGCGAATCCACAAACGGGGTCAATTTTCGATATGTTTCTTCGCGTTAGAGATATCAGAAAAAGTTATTTGAAAAAATTGTTCCGAATATTATTCTAACCCCACATACCAAATTTCATGACAAAATTCGCATTTTTAGTTTTTTCATTATTTTGGTCAATACACAAAATTATTAAAAGTTGATTTTTTTAATTCGATAAACTAGTGTGCCATGAATAGGAATAATTTGACACTTGTGAAATCATTAATGTCAATCAGATTAGACTTTCAGTTCAGTGTAATTCATGTAATTTAAATTCTTCAGTAAAATAAAAACACTAACACAAACGAATAATTATTTTATTTTAAAAAACAATTTTTAGTAGGTAACTGATTAAATTTAAGAAAATTATTAAAACAATAATTTTCATAGTACAAATGACAATTTATCAAATGTTATCTCGCTCGACTAGTCCTCCACTTATTCGAATACATTTTTCAATTCTTTTACGATTATGTGCGATAAATAATTCAAAAAAAAGTAAAGACTATTGTCCATCTTAGTAATAGACTGACAAGATAGTTTTGCAATCAATGTCACAAGAAGTATCTCCACTAAAAGCATGTGTGGCGGGTGGCGGCATTGGAGTTAGTGTATTTGTGCTGAAGCGCTATCAGGTGCGCCATATTCTTACCATCTTAATGCCACTTGTGACATTTACTTATAGGCTTAGGTATGTGCTTTAATTTTCGGTATTTATTGCGTTCGTTTTATTTTTATACAGGGTGTTATTGAAATACACGTACATATTAAAACTGGGTATTGCGCAGATCCCCACTGAATGTAGAAAAATATTATTTTTTAAAAATACCCCTTATTAAGGGAGTTATTAATTTTTGAAAATTAATTCTAAAACAAACGTACTTCACTGATATGTTGAGAATGACCTATATAAATTAGGTTTATTTACCTATTTTAAACATCAACAGTAATTAATATGCAAGTTTTTGTCAGATGATAAGAAAACTAGTCTTGTAAGAAATAACCATGTTGCCAAGATTTTCGAATTAATTTCTATTTCCGAAGACTGGTTTTTACTACCCTCGTTATCAAAAAACTAGAATATTTGATAAATGATTGTTTTTAAACTATACATTTTTGAAACTATAGATTATTAAAATTTTAGTTGATTTACGAATCTGGCTAACACGAGCGCGTCATTTCCAAGTTGGTAAAAAGTGTTGTTACGATTACTTTTAAATATTTTTTTACGATGCCACTATTTACGAATATTGAACTAACGGATATAGTGCTGGTTTATGGGGCAGCTGGAGAAAATTCTCGGCAAGCACAAATCCTGTATCGCGAACGGTTTCCAAATCGGAGAATTCCGGACTTTCGTACGTTTATTTCAACTGTTCAGCATCTAAGAGACCATGGAAAATTTGAGAGTGTCAATGCAGATCGAGGGAGAACAAGAACACAAAGAACATTGGCGGCCGAAGAAGAAATATTGGAAGCTGTTGAAAACCGGCCTCAATTAAATTGTAGAAGACTAGGTCTTGAAATTGGAGTGTCCTCATTTGTTGTGTGGCGGACACTTAAAGAACAAGGTTTACATCCTTATCACATCCAAAAAGTCCAGGCCTTATATCCAGGTGATGAAGAAAAGAGAGTGGAGTTTTGTAAATGGATGATTCAAAAATGTGTTGATATTCCTGATTTTCTAAAAATATTATTGTATACTGACGAGGCTTCATTCACTCGTGATGGCGTGTTCAATATGCACAATACGCATATTTGGAGTGATGAAAATCCTCACGCCATTAGGGAAACTGGGCATCAAAGAAAATTTTCAATAAATGTTTGGGCTGGCATAATAGATCAGTATTTAATCGGGCCTTATGTTCTCCCGAACAGATTAAATGGGACAGGATATCTCCACTTTTTAGAAGATATTTTGCCAGTACTCCTAGAAGAGATACCGTTACAATTAAGGCAACGGATGTGGTACCTACTAGATGGTGCTCCTCCTCACTTTGATTTAAAGGTACGGCAGTTTTTGAACATTAGATTTCCTCAAAAGTGGATAGGCAGAAATGGACCTACTAAGTGGCCTCCGAGATCTCCGGACTTAAATCCATGCGATTTCTTTTTGTGGGGTCACATGAAACAACTGGTTTATAATGAACCTATTAATAGTGTTGAACAATTAACCAATAATGTTAATGCGGTAGCCGAGGAACTACGACAAAATCCAAGACTAATTTCTAATGTTCAAAGTTCTTTGGAAAGACGATTGCAAGTGTGTGTAAATAATAATGGACGGCATTTTGAACAATTACTGTAATAAACTTTATTTTGAATTAATTGGTTTTGCTACGACAACAGTGCAATTTCTATGGGTAAGTTCAATTTCGATTTATTTTACTTCTTTAAATATGGAAACTAGTAGGTCGGAAAAGGGGACTCTTCCCCAATATTTAAATTTTAGAATTTGAAGTTAAAATTGGTGCCAATCGTTTTTGGTCATTACATACTATTCCCCATTTTAATATGTACGTGTATTTCAATAACACCCTGTATAGTGCGGTAAGCATAAACATTTTCATAATTATTTTTGTATATGTCTATTTAAAAATTGATTTCTGGATTAATAAAAGTGTTTTTATTAGTGATTTTAATTTCTTTTTTCCAACAAGCAGAACAGTACCGTAAAGTCGGGTGACTTTGACTCACTGTCAAAATTTAAACCTAGTTTAACTGTTAAATGAAAGCAAATCCAAATTCGCATTTTCGTCATAATTTAGTCTTCAGTTATATTTTAAGAATTATTAAGCAAAAATATCTCATATGGTCTAATTTTTCAAATAAAAATAAAAAAAGGGGTGTTCAAAGCCACCCGCAGATAGAGGGCGACTTTGACTCACCCATCATTTTTAATTGTTTTCTGTATATTACTTGCTGATTTAAAGCCTACAGTTGATAGTAAAACATATTTTAGCATTAAAAAAATATTTTTAATTGCTTACGGTAAAGATAATAACAAAAAAGATTACAAACAACAGTATTGTTGGTTGCATACAAATTTTATCACCTTTCAATTTCGATTATTTTGCAATAAGTTACATTTTTTATACTACAAAAAGCGTCCAATTGTCTTTAAATAAAGTGTTTTGGGTAGTTCTAATATCTTACAGTTCAACCAGCTTGAGTTTTATTTTAAAAATAGGACGTATACTTTTTTGTGAACAAAAATAACTACTGATATGAGCTAAAGTCACCCGTGCGGGTCAAAGTCACCCGACTTTACGGTAGTTAAAGTAACAGTTAAATCAAATTAATAAGTACTTCTCACCAGGTTGTATTTTGGGTCGACCGAACTTTATCCAAATCTTGGAGAAGTCCGAGCTACTCGGAATATAGCGTGGCGAGCTAGAGCTCGTCGTAGCGTCGTCAGATAAAATCTGAACTACTCAAACCCCGAAAAAAACTACCCTGATACGCCACAACGTGACAATATTCTAAAATAAAATCCTTTAATCATACATCCTCTACAAAATGAATGGACGTGTTAAAGTAACAACTAACTTAATATTTATATTAATACCTACTGAAGGAACGTTAACTTACTTTGAATGGACAACTCTTATTAATATATTCCTGTCAGTCAGCATTACACCTTTAGGAAGTCCTGTAGTTCCGGATGAACTCATAATAAACGAAACGTTATCGCAAGGATTTGCACCCGTAAAAGGCCTAAACGTTTTAGGATTCACTAATTTTCCTTGTAGTTGTCTATTGACGAACGCCGAAATGTTTTCAACATCAAAACGATTTGTGTCTTCATCAATCAGAATAATTTTTTCCAAAAAGTCCATTTTCAGTTTTAGGTTAAGAAATTTTTCAATAGTTTCTATCGAGCAAAATACGACTTTTGGTCGATACAGATTTAGTACATGGTTTAATTCATGTTCTGTGTAAAAGTGGTTAATAGGAGCGACTGTAGCTCCCAAATATAGACTGGCTATGACTGGTGTGAAGAAATTTAAGCTGTTTTCGCTGCATACTGATATAATTGTATCAGAATTGCAGCCGAATTGTTGTAAGGCTTCGCTTAAGTTACAGGTGTCTTTCAGAATTTGCTGGTAGGAGATGGATTTTCCAGTGAAGGCGTCCACCTGGAAGAAAATTTCATACAATTCTACCGATTTAAAATAAAAATTACCTACCAAAAATTGTTTTTTAAACGTTAAAGTAGATAATTCCGTACCCATCCATTAATTATCAACAAAAATGTTTTTATGGTAGGTCCTGGCCGACAAAGCTATAAAGATACGAGTCATATGTGTGATAACTACGTACAGCTCTGAATTAAATTTAAATTGACTCAAAAAGAAGAAGAATTATATGCTTTAAAATACGTGAAATTTTCCAAGACATACTTTAAAAACATGTTTTGCGGATTACTCCATATTGTTTCCACGCTAATTCCACATTGTTTACTGCATTAAGAAAATTGTTGTGTAATTCGTGTAATCTTTAGTATACGAATAAATAAACACATTTTATTTTGTACTTATTTAATTGAATATAAATCTAAATTAATTCGGTCATTATTAAAAAAAATGGGTAAGTTGGTACACAAACAGGTATGTTCAATATTTTCTTTAATGTTGGCTGTCCAGATATAAAAGTGAATACGAAAAATATTCAAATCAAGTTACATGACTTCAAATCTTGACATTTAAATTCATTTAAGATTAGATTTAATAGTGGTAATAATACGAGGATATATCAGTATATAACGAGACTGGTGCTATAACTTCTTTCAGAGGTAACATTTTATAACTCAAAAAATGAGACATGAGAGCCTTATATTTAATGTACTACCCCGCAAGTAGGCTTTGATTTAACTTTTGACATTTGTTACAAATTAATTATTGAATTGTCAGTGTTTTGCGTACCCATCGAAAAATGAAAGTGGAGCAAAGATACGCGATAAAATTTTGTGTTCGATTGGGTAAAACACCAACTGAAACTTTTGAAATGATTAAAGGTGCATATCTAGATAATAGTTTATCACGATGTAGAGTGTTTGAGTGGCATAAAAAGTTTAAAGACGGTTGTGAATCAGTTGAAGATGAACCTCGTCCCGGTCGACCACAAACTGCGAGAAATGACACAAAAATTGCAGAAATTAACGACTTGATACAAAATGATCGCCGGATTGATAAAACGAATTTCTGACAATGTTAATTTGTCTTACGGTACCACTCAAAAAATTATTCATGAAGATTTAGAGTACCGGAAGATCGCGGCAAGATGGATTCCAAAAGTGATCACCGATGAACAAAAAGCGAATCGAGTGACAATTTGTCAGCAGTGGAAAAGGCAATTGCAACGTAACCCACAGTTTTTAAATAATGTGGTTACATGTGACGAAAGTTGGTTTTATCATTACGATCCTGAATTGAAGTCTCAAAGTATGCAATGGAAGCATAAAGGCAGCCCAAGACCGCAGAAGGCCAAAACTGCTAAAAGCGCTGGTAAAGTGATGCACCTAATTTTTTTTAATAAATTTGGCGTTATTTACGATCACATTGTACCTAGAGGACATACAGTAACAGGGGAGTACTATTCTAATGTACTTCGAGGACCCTTAAAGGCAAAATTAAAGAAAAAAAGGCCGCTTTATCAGGACTTTGGCTGGACGCTGCATCACGACAATGCTCCGGCTCATAGATCAATGATTTGTCAACGAACAATCGAAGAATTAGGGGTTGAAATTATGGTTCATCCCCCCTACTCTCCTGACATTGCTCCATGTGACTTCCATTTGTTTCCTGAAGTCAAAAAAGAATTGAGAGGTAGAAGATTTGAGTCGGATTTAGAGCTCAACAACGCTGTGATGGGTATACTAAACAGACTATCAAAAAATGATTTCTCAGAAGTTTATAATAAGTGGATAAAGCGATGGAATAAGTGTATTCAACAGAATGGAGAGTATTTCGAAGGATAGTTGTTGAATTTTTTTAAATAAATGTTTCGTTGTTATACTATAGCACCAGTCTCGTTATTTTCTGATACATCCTCGTAATAACAAAACAAGAATAAATAATCCTACACATACTTATCATCTATTATTATTTCTAATTTTAAGTAGTTAATATTAATTTTTGTAATAAGTTAGTAATTGAATTAAAATAAAAAGTAAATACTTTTAAATAGTTTATCAAATTATTTAAAACAATTGTAGTTTAGGTTTTAGTCATTGTGGTCGTAGATAAAGTATAGTGTGCTACTTATTCAGAAAACATTCCACACTCGTGTGAAATTGGTTACTGTCTGCACTCGTTAAGAGCAATTAGTATCCTAATTTAAGACGGCGCAAGATTTGTAGGTCAGATACAGGGTTTTTTAAATTTTTTTTTATAAATATTTTTTTATTAAAATATAGAGGCGTTGATAAACAATGGCGCGGTCCAAAACTATAGTCAAAACATAAAAAATTTTATAGAATAAATCAAAACTTTTAATTCTATAAAATAATAATAATTTAGTCAAGCGCCATTCAGAAAAAATTATTGATTATGGGAAAAATAATAATGCGCCGTCTCATTTATATTATCAGTAGTAATACTATAAGTACTTCAAAATAATCAGGTTATACATCGATAACTTGTTGCATAATTATAGAGTGTCAGTTTGACAGTTTAAATAATCCGACCGCGAAGCGGGAGGATTATTCTGTCAAACTGACACGATTTGTAATTATGCAGGAAGTTTGAGATGTATAACCGTATTTATTTTGAAGTACGTATTGTATTTGATACGATTATTTTTTGAGTAAATTAAGTAAATATCAACAATTTATTAATTTAAATACATATTGGTACAATGAAAATTACAATAATTAATTATTGATAAACGTCAAAATTTGACGGTCCTGTTAGTTAGTGTATTGTTGTCGATGTGGTTACTACGGAAATGAAATTATTGTAAATATTTTTGATTGGTGGAGCTACTCTATGTATAATCAGGTATTATCGAAATTATACGAGGTAACTTAACTAAATTGAACGTTCTAATTGGTTAAAAGTTATACGAAAAAAATAATCTTTATTATCTGTTAATCACTACGTATAATGAATTCAGTTAGACTTGGCAACAGCGTACATAGATATCTTCCTGCTATGATCTGGATGACTGGATGTCTCTTGGTCGAGGGCGACACTTACATCAATCACCTTAGGAATGCATTTTATTATTTTAGTAGGGTTAAAAAACAGTTCTGGTTTCATTTTGGTATTTATCCCAAGCAATGAAGCATTTAGGAAAAGGGGTGTCTCTAAAAAATTAGAATAAAGCTACAAATTGGTGTAGTCATGAAATGAGGACATCGAATTAAACCAATATAACAATTTTTCGCTTCATTCTTTTTTTTTTCTCAGGTAAAACTACTATATTTCTTGGCTTAATTGTGTTTTGTATAAAGCATTTTGGATTTGGTTTTTGATTTATTGTGGAAAAATGTAAAATTTGGAAATATGGTTGGTATGTCAATATTAGAGAGAACATCTAGATTTTGTAAATAGAAAACGTTATCGAGCCGTAGATTAAGCCGATGAAAAATATATCGAAGATAATTTATGTGTAAAATTTCTTGAAATATACAGGATATTACAATTTGACTGCAATGTAATATTTATTGATTCGTAAATTGGGGTGTTAATTTTAAAACTTACCATGGACAATATTATAGATTTTGATCAACACAAAATAAAATACCGTTTCTAGGATAGAAAAATGATAAAAGAGAAAACTAGCCCCCATTAACCTTCTACGCCCTATCTACCCCAACTAAAACAATTTAAATAACAGCACCTTACTTGTGATACCTAATAATTAGAAAGTCCATAATACATTGCCAAATGATATAAAATTATGATATTTCAGTTTGAATTACCATGTATTAATGATATTTTTTCAGATATTGGTTGCTGGTCATAAAAAAGTAATTTAAAGGTATGCACTTAACCAAATTATTTTTAATATACCTAAATATTACAGTGGTATGCTTTTAAATGAATACAATCTTAAAAATAATAAAAATTAAATTGAAAATGACACTTAACCTCCATTTTCATTTATTGTTTTATAGAGTTGATTACTTAACGATCATATAACTAAAATATTATCTACATACCTTTTGAATATATTTCAAGAACTGCCATCATAATATAGACAAATTAAGTTTTTTGGGCCACATAAGCAATAAAACTTAGAGATAGATCTCCAGGCCAACAAATATGCTCATAATCTTATACCGCTACCGAGAAGCAGCGGTCTAGGTATAATAAAGGTCTGTGAAGCACACGTACTTCTCGAGGCAGTCACGGCGTTAAATGCAATAAATACGAAAAATTCTAATAGTATGCCGATCTACTTTCACACCTCTTTTTTTAATGTTTTAATCTTTTCTAGGCTGCTAATGATTATTTTTAATATTTTTCATGACAGGGTACAACCTGAGGATATAGTAGAACGATGGGGGTTACTCACACCCAACCCCCCTTTTTAGGGGCCTTAGTAACCTCAACATAAAAATTTTAAATTTTTATTGTGGAAGTGATGTATGGGGCTTAAGGCCGAGTCGAATCAGACTCATTTTAAATCTCATTACCATCTCAAACAATCGCCAAGAGTAAACTAAAAATGAAATAGAAGAAATATTATTACACGTGTAATTTATGTGACCGGAGGGCGAGGCTTTTAGTGCCACATACTTCCCCCCCACTCCTTTTTCAAAAGTCGTCAAGAACATAATTGTATGCAAGTAATTGATGGAACCCAAGGGCGAACGTTTTGGTACCAAACAATTTTGCACGAAAAGAAGAAGAATTGTCAAGAAGAAGAAAATGTTCATTAATCAGAATTGGTTTAACAAAAATGTGTTTAATATCAATAAATGAGGGTTTTTAAATTGTGAATTGCTGTTAATTTATTGAATTTATTTTTTAATTATAATGGTACTGAATTATATTGTTTTGTAGGTACATATAAAAGTTTATGATCTCAGCTATACATTGAACGAATGTATGAGCATGGGCGAAGTTATGTCATCAGATCTGGGGGGGCTAAAGCCCTAGCCCTAGTCATATAATATATAATAGTTCTA